ACAAATCTCATCTCATGTGTGCATGTGCAGAAGTTCCAGACCTTGCAGGTATGCTTACATTGAGATAAGTTAACAACTTGCAAACTTTTGTCGAAAAAAGGGCCATTTCCTAAACTAAATGTAGGAAGTGAGATGACGGCAAAACCTGTCTGGAGGTTGTATTATACTTGTTTGCTGATGCTATTGGAATAGATCTATTGTATAAAGTGGACTTTGTACTTTGCAGTAGACAATAAGTAAGTAAACGAGAATCTAGCCATGTTGTACTGAATTTTCCATGATGATAAGAAAGTAGGAACTTCCCAGGTTTGTTGTCATCAAATGAGGCATTATTCCTTGGGAGTTAGTCGTGTATATGAGGAAGTACTTGCTATCATCCTTTTCATCTGTATTTTGCCTCACAGAACGAGCATGAATATTGCATACTTTCACGTTTTCCATCAGAAATTCCCCTGCTTTGTTGCCAGCTGTTAGCTTCAATGACGTAGAATAAAGCCTCATAATGATTCGTGCCTCTTTATCCTAATGAAAAATTTATATAGCCCAACTGCTTCATGCCGGGCTGAGCTGGCTGTTAGGGTACCATATGCCTAGTGGCTGATAAAGTCCCTTCCAAGAGGGACGCACATGTATCTTTAAGTAAATACCAGAACCAAATTATCAATGATGAAATTCCAAGAACCCCTGAAAGATACAAAGTGGCAGTCACTTCCTTTGAAGAGGTGTGAAAGCAATCATGCACGACTCAGCTTAATTGCAAGCAACTCTAAAATGTTTACAGCAGCCATTAAACAGCAGTTGCTGTTGCCATTAACGTAGAATTGGTCATCATTTGCTCACACAATAAAGGTAACTATGAAATGGAGTGAGTCTGTTATACATGTATGCTTGTACTACCTATTATGCAAAATTTCTCATGGTTTAAGTGGAAAAGTAAAGTGATAAAAATTTTAAGAGGGAGTTGTTTTCAATATTTATGTGGCCTTCAGCTGACAAGAAGGTTTATAATCAAGACTGTGTGGGTAGGCACATTCCTGTGGCAATATCATTGTTTTTAGCAATTCTAAAATTCTGTTTTGTACATTATACAGAATTTACAGAGATTTTATAAACTTATACAAAATGTGGTGCTTTACTTCAAACTTAGCACCCATATCAGTAAACAACAACATCACAAAATTAAGAATGGGAAGCTGGTAATGTACCTGGTAGCTCAGAATACTAAGGAGCTGGTGCTGATAAATAATAGTAAAAGTGACGGCTGCATCTAAATCTCTGGCCTTGTTACCCTCTCAGTCTATAAAGTCCTGGGTAGCGGGCATCGGGAGCCAGGATTTGGGCCCAAGTGGTCCCATCATTGATCACTCCCATTAATGTGTCATATGCTACATGATCTCCCTATTATCAATTTATAGCACTTTCTGTGGCAAGCTACTGCACAGCTAGCTGCCAGGCACTGTCTGTGTTTTTTTTTTACAAAGTTGATTTTGTCAATGAGAGAGGATCAAGGCCAGGCTAGTTATTACAGACATAGTGAAGTACGTCATCACTGATCGATATAATCACTAGTGCATCTGCTACATCGAAACTGAGACCACAGGAATGCCTGGCATCTCCGCTCCAAAACAAACCAGCAGTAGCAGCCGCAGAATGGACCAGATACACGCAGCGTGAACTGCTTCAAATTAGTGTTCCTTTCAGTACAAGTATTACATAGGAGTATTATAAATAGCTGAATTTGATTGAGGAGATGATATACTGTGCATCAGGACCATATCTGTTACCTTTGGTCATTGGTGAGTAATTTTTGTGGGTTTTATTTCACTGCAGGCCAGCACATTTAATGATAGTAGGTAATGTTTTACTACCATGCTAATTTGAATCTACATGGTGGCTGCTTGTTTACATGTGTCACATTATTTGCTTACAACACAGTTGGTATTTCAGTTTTTTATTTCCAATTACGTATATGTGTTCAGTTTATCACCCACAAAATTACTCTCTGGCAGTGATCATAATTGGGAAGTCAAAAAAACAAGTATTAGGCCATGTTAAAGCCATGGACCAAACAGGTTTGTAATCTGTGGAGATTTAGCTGTCTATTACACCTGAGGGGCTCAGGAAATGTCAGAGTTGAGGCACAGCAACTCCTCATAAACGTGTATGAAGTACCGCCGGAAGGTATGGTCTTCATTATTTACTGGGATTTCCCCAGCTGCACAACTGTTCAGCTGTCTAACTGCTCCTGACAGACATCCAGAAAACCACATTCTGACAGGATAAGCCTTATTATATGTAATTCATAATAAGAAAAAGGGCTGTTTTGATGGATGGATACCTTTACAAAGATAAGCAGATCCAAAAGTTAGAGATAGCTTATTCTTGGGTGTAGTTTGTATTTTCCATGAGGAGTAGAAATGGGTCATTTGGGTATAAATCTATCTGTGCATCCTGGTTTCTCAGAAAACACTGCAGCTATATCATAGGCAGATGCTGGGGTCAACTAATTAAGAGGTTGTCTCCATTGATGTTTCTATTATCAAGAGAAATCAATTAAAAGTCCCAATTATGCTGCTGCTGGGCTTTAGTCCATAGGTGGGAAGGGTGCCCGGCATCGTGCTGGCCTGTTGTACACCTTTGCTCACTGCCTGCTGCTCCTGTTTTTAAATTGCAGTAAATGTCAGTTTGAAATAGATGAGGAGCCCAAAATTAGGTCATCATCCTTCTATGGATGCTACAGCTGTGATTTCAGTGACATTTACGGTAATTACATTTGAGACAAAGCTGCATGGTATGATCCAAATACACACTGCTCTTTTGGTGGGCTCCAGCCATTGGAACATTCTTAATCTGTTTTTGCCACATGCTGTAGAGTTTCAGCATGCCTTACCAAAATCTGCTCCAAAAGGAGTCGGTTGCCGAATACAAACAGCCCATCATGGGTCTTGTCTCCGGTGACGTCTCCAGGATTAGTGATTGAGATGGTGCTGAGATGCTGCTGGGCAAGCCACACATTACATTCACCCCTTTGCTTGCAAATTGATGCCGGACTAGTGTACCTGTATATTGGATGGCCACCTCTATTTAAATGATAAAATGAGCACTTCTGGACGCAATGGTCCATTGAATGTAGCATTTGCAGTTGATCTGTGCCCGGGGTGATGATCCGGTCTTGTTTTGCAGATTGCATGCTTTCATTCCAAATGTGTCTGTCGCGGATTCTCCTTTTTTGATCAGTGCAATCATTTATCTTGATTCTGTTTACGCTCTGCCAGGGTATTGATCCTTGGGCACCCAATTGTATCGTGTCGCTTTATTGCTTCATTGCCATAAGAAAGGGAAAGGGATGAGTAGTCTTTATATAGTTCTTGTGATGGACTCTTGAGCCTCTCTATGGCATATAAGCCTTAGCACTGCTGCATTCGCACCATTGTGCACCGGCAATATCTGAGGCTTACAGGGTTGGCCAGGTAGGGTGGCAGGCATCCATTGCATCTGAATTTTGTGAGTCGTATATGTATTATCTATTTTTGCTGGAGCCACGTTAGTCTTTTGTCATTTGATTGTGTTCATTTGCAGGATATTTGAATGCATGCTATTACGATAATGACATACAACATGGATGACATACCAGGCAATTTCTTTGGTTACCATTCAAGTCTGGGTTATCGCATCAGTTGAAGATACCTGTTCTGATATCCCTTGTATCTGTATTTATTTATGGTCCCATGTACTGTAGTACTGATGTAGTAGTGAACAGTTTTTTCCAGACCAAACATTTGTTCTATGTTGGATTTTTACAGTGCTTGTTAGTTCCCCTCAGTCTCCTTATCTCTCTACTGCACGGAACAGGCATGGGTTATTTTTCTGTGCGGTGTATTGCTCGCTGGTGCCTGCCTGACTATGCACTCTCATGTAGTATTATCACTGGCAAGTAGATTGGTATGCAGATACAAGTATAGTAATATTGTATTGATCTCCTGTAAGCCAGTGTAAGAGATGCAGAGGCAGTTAACATTTGTGCCCAAGGTTTTAGTGTGGCTTGTCGTGCCGGCTTATTAATACCTATGCCCTCCTTGTGCAGCGGGTTGCTGCCAGAATTTCTGAATAGGTTAGAAATTGCCTGGTGACAATGTATTGAAGTAATCCCACAGCTCGCTCCCGTCTAAAATGCATCAGAGTTTTAATTCATCACTAGCTTGTAATGGAAGCACATTTGATTGATATGGAACATCAAGCATTTCTCAATCGCAACAAATTATTTCTTCTGAAATCTTTTAATTCTGATCCAGCCAATTCTCTTATCAGATTTAAAGCGTTGTCATTAATTAATTTAATGAGTTCCTGTTACATGTTATTTCCCCTGGCTCTCCTGAGGCCCCACCAGCATAGCATTAGTGTCCGAATGCTGAAGTGTGAATGTGCAGTTACAAATTAAATGTTGTGTTTTGCATGGTGATATAACGACACAATATTAGGCCTACCAGCGGAAGAATTAAAAGATAATTACTTGTGTCTGAATCAATTGCTGGCGCCTATCTCAAAGGGGCTTCAATCTTCTTGCCCCATATTTCCATTCAGCCTTCCTACATATTAGTTCTCTACTTTGGGTATTTAGCATTATCTTGTAACACGTCACTCCCGCATTCATCACAGAGCGGAATCACCCACTAATGACAAGGCAGATTTAGTATCGTGGCTCATCCCGCCAGAGTACTGTCGCATGTAGCTGGCAGCTGAGGGTACACTTAACTCATGCTCTTTGCTCCAATTTTTCTACAAAGCATTAATATTTAGCCATATGTATGCAAGTTCTGCAGAGCCTTAATTATCCTGCAACATCTGATGACAATTTCAAGTGAACACAGGGAGATATTGTTATTTTCCTCCAGAACTTTGATAAGAATGGAACATCCATCAGGTTAATCTAGACTGTCATTCTCGAGCGATAGCATTTGATGGTGTTCCTTACTCCTTTTTTGCTCTCTATGTTCCTACAGACTTCAGTGGACGATGACAAGTCAGCAGGACCTGTACATCGACTCCACTGCCGTGAAGAAGGAGCCTCTCAGCCCTGCCCACAACGGGATGCTCACCAGCGACATCGTCAGTGCCACGACCGAGGCACACCACAACTACGCTCGCACTGTTATACCAAATGGAACTGACTACCACCATCAGGAGAATGGACACCACATGCAGAATGGTCACAACTCTTCAGATGAAGAGAATAGGTATGACTCGAACTCCTCCAGTGAGATACTTACAAATGGTACGACAGAAGACCGAATGATGAAGTGCGAGTATATGCTGCACTCGTTACCCAAGCGACTATGTCTCGTCTGCGGTGATGTTGCGTCTGGGTTTCACTATGGAGTGGCATCTTGTGAAGCCTGCAAAGCTTTCTTCAAGAGGACAATACAAGGCAAGTCATCACCTACCTGTACCTATTGAAATACAAGAATATTTTTTTATATCAGTCAATAGAATGACAAGTTTGTGAAGATTTAAAACTCTATAACCATAAACAAGAAAAATCACTCATCAACAAGCTTCAGGTTATCTGAACTTGAGAAGAGTCAGAGCTGTGGCTGAAAGCTTGTTGGTAGGCTATTTTACTATGTGTACGGCTATAGACTTTTAATCTTCATAATGTCAATTACCATCATAGAACATTTATTCAAATGAAAAAGTTTCTTAAGGAGCAGAAGATTTTTATACCTAAAGTTTGTAAAGAGCCATTCCTTATTGTCCCTTTTTCTAGTGCTTCAGACAGTAAATCTTATTTCCTAGTGATTACCTAGTGGGCAAAACTTATTTCTAAGGATCTCAAGACCAAGAAAAGAATCAGTCATGACTCATGATTTGACTGTGTTTCTTGTTATGTGAACAGTTACAATGATTACTTTTCAAGTTGTACCCTATCTTTGTTTTGTCAATAAGAATTGTAAAATTAAATAATGCAGAAAGAGGAAAGATGGTTAGCTGAACTTTTATGTCAGGTGGTATGATGTTGGGTTGATGTAAACATGTTTTTCGTTGCTTCAACATGCCAGGGCCTTTCTGCTGTGTGCAATTTTTAGCCTTCCTATTTCCCAAGCATATAACTTCCTAATCCTCTTGCAGGCAACATCGAGTACAGCTGTCCTGCCACAAACGAGTGCGAGATTACCAAGCGGCGCCGCAAATCCTGTCAAGCCTGCCGCTTCACCAAATGTCTCAAAGTTGGCATGCTCAAAGAAGGTAAAAATTTGCTCTTAACAAAGTCCAGCAGTGTACTTGGAAGTCTCTTTGTGGGCTACCTTGCACATAGTACGAGTCATTCTGCATACATCACAGCATCAGACCAATCATCCCTAGTCTCAAGCTGCCTCGGCAGCTACCACCAAAGATCCTCTCCAGCAGGATATGTAATGGCCGCAGCATATTCAATAATTTTCCACTTGATCAGGCTGTTGCACTTGCAGTTGCTTGTCTTTCATGCATAAACATGCCAATGGTTTGCTCAACTACGTGTTGGAGAAGATGTGTTGTAGTGCTGAAGGCTGAATCTCTCTATAATTGCTTGTAATCAGGTTTGAGAACATTTACATCTGTGAGGCTGTTCTTTGCTAATTGAAACACCACTTGGTAACCCTTACCTCATCATCCCTAAATCCCCCAGCCCTTGGTGCACTGACCATGCCGTATGAACCTCAATTTTGTCCCTTATTCTCGTTAACTGCTTTCCATCATGGTGTGTTCTACATGTGAAATGCCATTACCGTACGATAAAAAGGGCTGCGCAGCCGGGCTTATATTACAGGGACTTTGCTCCACTGTTGGCGCCGAAATAACAGGTCTTGTAAACTTTTCCATCTCAGTCTCAGCAACATAATCCCAGTAGGCCCCAAAAAATGGTTTTGTAGTTTTAAATTAATCATTTTGCCCCCTATAATTTCATTTTCTGGCAATGGGGCTAGTTCAACATTACCAAATGCTTTGCACATTATTGACAAATCCTAACAAACCAGATGTCTCCATTATGAGGGGTCTGTACAGGTTAATACATAATAGATTCATGCATTATAGGAAGTTCTTTTAATACATCACATTAATTTTTCATAAGCAGCTTTCTTTTGGCCATTAGCTGACAGCTCTCATCCATGATAACACATTGCTGAGCAAAGGTGTTTAGATTTGGCCCAGGCAAATCCCATCCAGACTTGTCAATCATCCCCACAAGCAGCAGCAGCCTTCCAAACAGAACCATATTTTACCTGACAAATAGACTGAAATTGGTAAACATGCCTACTTCTATCAGTCTGCTTATATGAGTGGGCTCACTGATAGTTTTCAGTCTCATACAAAAGATGTTGAAACAGGTGCTTCCATCAAACCCCCTGGGGAGCAGGACAAGTATAGTCTCGGCTCCTCTCTCTGAATTCATCCTATCCTTGATGCTCTAGTTACCTTCCAGCCACTCTTATCACTTTCACACTGCTCTGAAAAATTGGTAACTCATTGGTGAGAGATTGTGCACCGGGCCTCCTAAGAGGCAGAAATCGAAATGCGGCATCGCTCGTGCCCATATGCTTTTAACTCTGCTGGTTTTGCTCCTCCTCCCACCTGCCATCTCATTGTCTTTTGGCAGCGTGATGCCGGGAGAACGTGTAATTTTCATCACTGCTGCTATGATGGAATTGTGAGCTCACTCTGGGTGGCGGATGGCTGGGAGATTGCATGCGGCTGCAGGCTGGGGTTTAGATTGATGAGTGGATCTGACAAGATACTGTTCTGTCAGAGTGTCTGCATGCACACAACTCACATTGTCACCACAAGTAAAGATTTTCCTCTTAGCTCAGCCTTAGTTACAGTCTGGTAGAGGAAGATTTACATAATGATCCATGTTATAAATTTTTTTTTACCCTGGGCCTTTTAGGCCTCTGGGTATTAATGTAAGAAAATGACAATAGCCTCCTAGTGGATCTAGCTGGGAAAATGGGTTCAATTGCATTTTATGGCTTCGTCAAGACTCAATTCAATGAGCAGTCTCCCAGATAGTGGCAGGATGGAAGCTTTTATGTTTTCAGAGAGAATAAGGCATTCACAGTCTCTACTGTGCTGTGCAGACATGCCTGCTCACATGGGCTAAATTCACATCATTTGTACATTGATTTTTCTCCTTTTGAAAATTAGTCTTAGTCAAATGAGTAACACTTTTCGATGAAAGCATGCTGCCAACGGTTGAATAATATTTGTGTGAGAAATCTGAAACACTTGACAGATTTGTACTCTACTGATCTTTATAAATAAGGATATGTAATATTAATGAACAATATACAGCAAGCTGACAGATGCTTTTAGTGTTATCATCTTTTTATCTATGAAATTAGCTAGATGGAATTTCATTCTAATCAAAATGCCAGAACACTTTTGTCTGTCATGTTTTCCAACTATAACCAGGATTAGGATGGGGAAGGAATAGATTTCGTCAAGTCACTGCAGATGATAGAAAATATATTTTGAAAATCAGCCCAAGGGGTCCAAAGCACTGACCACCAAAAATGGACTGCTGGTTACGTGGTATACGCTCTCATGCCTCTTGGGCCTTAACTAAAACAAGTGTGCTGAGGCTGAAAGCAGGGTTTGACATTTGACATTTTAAAAGACTGCCTGTGGAGATAATTTTAGACTTGTTTGAATGCCATATTGGAGCTAGCATGGAGGGTTATGGAAGTAACCTTACTTAGTATTTCATCTAAAGTATCACCATAATGATAATACGAAGCATACAGTGTTCATGTGTTACTAAGTCAGTGATACATGAGAACCAGGATAGAGGGTCAGTTTGTTATTAGAATATAATTATATTATTATCTGACATTTCAGTAGTTCACATTGCACAACTAGTAGGAATAGGCTAAGAAAGGTATGGCTCAAACTTACTATACCCTTCTTCCCTTTCTTTCCCTCTTTCACCTCTTCTTTTCCCTTAAGTCTTTTTTCTATCACTGTCTGCATTTCGTCTACTGTTTTTCTTTTGGACCATCATACAGTTGGCTAGTAGTACTGTACACTGAGAACAGCAAGAACAGCTCAGTATGGCCAACTTGTCATAATTGATGAGAAGGGTTCCATAAAAGCAAAAACCCCTCCAATCAGGAACAAGCTGTACAGTAGGTGTCTGAAACATAAGACAACTTCCAAGATTTGCTCCACCCGTCCCTAATCCTTTCCCTAATCCTTTGACTTATCCACCCTTTAAATAAAGATATTCTGCACAGTGCACTGGCCATACTCTAGACCAGGGGGATGTTTGTTCTTACCAAATGCCGTGGGAGGGGGTATATCATGCTGCCAGCCTGGAATGGCATCCAGTATTGGGAGAGCAGGTTCCTTATCAGTATATGGGGTGTGCTGCGTTGTGGGAAGAATGTAGTAACATTAGATAAAACATGAGTAACAATCTTGTAATATGTGAAGGTGCTAATGTTTAAAGCAAGTCAGTCACATTCTAGGACAGGGATATTTGGTGGCCACATGTCAACAGCCCAGAATACATGGTAGAAATAAGAGAAATGTCAGAGGTAGACCAATAATTTGCCTTTCATGATAATGATTAAGACTTCATTTATTTTTATTGTAAATGTAAAGAACAAATTAACCACAATGATAAAAGTAAATTTTAAAAATTATGTTCTTTATTAAAATATGAATTAAAGTAATTATATATTTGCATGCACACATGAATGTTCTGTAGCTTATAAACGTTTTGTGTACATTTCTGTGGCCTCTCCTTAACTTCAAAGTACTGGGCTTTGCAGAAAATTGTTTAAGCCTTAAGCCTTAACAGCATTGTGGGCATTCCCATATAGTGCCACATTGTGGACATACCAGTGCCATGTCACCCAGGTTTGGTGACTACTCGGCCAGCATTTTATAGGTCATTGCCTTTTAGTGCCAGTGACGCATGCCACCCTGTTTACTCTGTAGACTTGCAGATTCAGCTCTAGCACAGTTTGCTTTGTTGAACTTTTCTCATATTCTTTAAGATGCCTCAAGATCAATTCATCAATTCTTCTAGTTATAAGGCATAAACTTAGCTGAGTCAGCTAGAAATAGAGTATCGTAATTCCACAAGTAGGGCCGACAGTGAACATGTTATACGATACGGATGAACTTCATTGTCCGACTATATTCAGCTGTTTTTACTGGTACATGTTGAGAAAGACACATGCTGCTCAATAAAGACTGCCTGACATCTGCCCATGAATGTGGACTTGGCCTGCCTGTTGGAATGACTGGGGACCAAAGTTCACCCCCACAGCCATCGCTGGCATGATATCTCCGTTGTACTTTGAACCTTGACTCTCTTTTCCAAAGCTTCACTATGCAAACAGCTTGCTATTTATTCGTTACCATTTATTCTTCATGTCTTTCCTCCTTTATTCCATGCTTCATTAATCAATTTCATTTATTTGAAAGTTATGTACCAGGGTACATGTGTGGAGTTTTCGCCATCTGCAAATGTATTGTGTTGGAAAGTTTGAGTTTAGTTGCAACTCAACAGCTTACATGTAAATGTCTTGTACTAAGGTGTGCTGAGTGGAATGTCCCTTTAGCAAGCAAAATTGCTCAACAAAGGCACAAAGTCCCTATACTGAACGGAACGTCCACCACTGGCATGACATGTCAGGTACCCAATATGTAATTTATAAAACCATAAAAGGTAGTAAACCCAAGATCAGCCTTCTCCACTGGTCCGACTGCAGGTTGAGAGGGTTGTAAAACAAAATTAACTAGTATCTGATGGGGACTCGGCTTTAAAACTGGTCCATAGCAGCACATCTCCTTTATGTCTCAATAACAATGCCTCATTACCACATCTAAAATCTAATAAGCCATCCCATGTTATATCATATTTTATACTTAATGATAAAACAAACTAGATAGATGGGAGAAATAACTTCTCCCTAGTAATGTTTAAATGGAAAAAATATCATTTTCTTGTGTAATATTACGGCCCAAATACCAGATGTTGTCTTATTTGTAGGAAGGAAATTTTCCCACTTGAAGTCATACTCAAGCCACCTCCACTCCTCCAGATAAGCGTACAGTAGGACTGCTATGAAGTTCCAGAGAGGCATGTTTTAGTCATTATATGCATCAAAAGGCTCTTTAAGCTAGTTGAAGTACCTGGGGGACCCATACGTAATGCCCATTTTTCTCACAAGGATCTACAGATATTGAGTGAAGTCTTCCAAGCAACGAAATCATTAAGTAGGTATCATTGCACCATGGTCGAAAAATAGATTGCATTGCCCCCCGTCCCCTGATAGCATCCAAGGTAAGAAAGGGAGTAATGAAATCTCCAGGTGAGAAGCACAGGTCTAGCAGCCAGGGAGTCTTTTATTCTCACCAAGGCCTGCCCTCCTTGACTTTGTGCTTTAATCTGGTAATAGACAGGCATCAGAATGGGAACAGGGAGGCCTCAGACCAACATGTGCACCTACACTGTCATAAATTCCTACCAAATCCTGGCCTGGGAAAGGAGATTACGCTGTAAGCACCAAACAAATGGGAAAGGCAACGGCTTCTGCTAAAATTAATTTTGCTCACTTTTATGTCCAGACTGGTAATATTACAGTTTTCCAGATTGTTTATCACGTATCCTCTAGAAATGGTGTTAGTGAAATTTGTTGTCCCTAGCAGCTACAGTATAGGCTGCAAGGATGGAGATACTAGGTTTATTTCATATTGACGTCCTTCGGGGCAGGTCTGCTTAATATGCAATTTGACTAGGGAACCCAAATGTGAATCAAACAATTTTGGCATTAAAGCCTTCAAGGAACAAGGAGTATTTTTTTTAATGAAACAAGCTTTCATTTGACATCCATAGGTTTCACAGTAACAAAATAACAACTATGAACTTAATGCCAGATCTGGACAAAGTAAGTACATTTAACAGATCAGAATCATTCTCTATTTTACAAATTTCTACAAAACACATTTGAGAAGGTTTAACTCCAATATGCTTAATGTACCAGTGTTCAGAAATAACAACATGACTGTCACAGCAATAGGCAATGGGTCATGTTGTTTGTTGACTATTTGTTCATTTGTCAAATAATGTTATTGTGGCCGAGTGGATGCGGTTTAGTCTTGTCGCTTCTGCAAAATCACCGGGAATGAGAACATTTTCCAAGTCTGAATTTAGTGACCACTGCCGGATGTAAAGGGTTATGTTATGGACAGGATGCGAGTCTAAAGCATGGCTTTAAAAGCTACAGGAATGGACTGGTGATATTGTGCTGCAGTGAGTATGATAGCAAGGAACACATCAAACAGTATCTATCTCCTCTTAGCATAGGTCTCTCCACATCCCTTTGAAGCTAACTTATAGCCCACTTTAATAGGTGTCCTTGGCAAATGGTCATGCATACTGTATCCCTGCTGCCAGCCTACTGCCTAGCTGCCATCCATTCTAGCTGGTAGAACAAGTCACCATACACCATGCTGATCCTCCATCAATCCAGCTACAGTTGCTCACACCTTGTGATAGTGCTCACTGGTGACCCATATCTTGTAACTACCCTTTGTGTTACTGCAGCTGCTTTTCCCTGCTGTCCATCTGGGTAGTAAAATCATGTATATTGTGTGTTTAATTTCTTGTAGAAGTAGTAATGTTATAGATACATTTCCTCATTTACCCTCAGGCTGCATATTTCTTTTATGGGTCAGAGTCATAAAGTGATAGAGAGCAGCTTTTAGAACCCTTCACACAATGGAACTTGTCTAGCACTGTAACCTAATAACCTTTCAAAGGACAAGAGCTACTTTTGCTCCAGTTTTGGCAACTTTGTATTTAGATAGGCCAACAGGGTCTAAAGAGGCTGTCATCTGCCAGGCTATGTACACTAACCTTGTGCACACATTGGTTATGGGTCATGCAAAAGGGGTGATAAATAATCTTGTCATGCTCCACAGGAGCCAGGCAGTCCTTCAGAGCAGGTGCTTTATAAACAGTACCCTCTTCATGGTACAAAGACACTGAGAAGTAAACACAATAACAGCAAAAGTGTATATATGTGCAAAGCTTTATGGTCACCATGTTATCTAGTGGTGTTGGTATAAGCATTGTTACCATGAAACATGTTAGTACTCCAAATGTCAACAGAAAAGAAATCAGCACAACTCCCAGACTTCCATCAGCAATCTCATTCTTCCATTGTGTATTGTGAAGTACAGAAACCTTTCGTTTGTCTTGCAAAGCTATTTATTCTGCCAGCATGAAGTCTCTCCTGTATTATTGCTGCATATATCAGACTTTTGCTCTGACTAAATTCTTCTAATATACACCCAAGCCAATAGCATTTTCAGTCACATCAGGTCTTCACAAGAGCAGTCGTAGTCATACACACAAATTCAATAGTGTTTACATTCTGTGTACAGATCCAAATGCCATGGCATCAGAGACCAATCTTTCAGGCTGCAACTGCATGCTTTTGGCCTTCTTAATATCTACATCTATAACATTGCAGCTCAATCTTTTGTGCAATGTGAAGTGAAATTGCTATTATGATAAGTTTGATGCTTGTGGCTTGACGCTAGGGGCAGGTGTTTTCCTGGTGTTTGGGACAAGGTTTACTACAATCATTTGTTTCACATGCAGCACTGAGGATCAAACCCCGACCACAGCCTGAGGGTAGGGACTCTTTTAGTTTTATAGGCATTTCTTTGCTTTTCCTGTTTCCACTGTAAGCAAATTATTTGACAACAGACAAACCATCCATCATCAGTGCCACTAAATCCGTATGACCTTTAAGCCACACCTGTCACATATGGTCCACAATACAGAGATGCAAAATTTCATTTTTTAGATAATCCATTACTACTAGTCAAACTGGGATACGATTTGCTTATATTTGTCGAAAAATAAATTATGAAGGTATTACACCAATGAGACTAATTATGATTAGTCAATAGTGTAATAGTAATACAGGTGGCACTTAACAACTCGTGTTGGCTCATTTGGACAACACGAGCTTGGAACAACTGAAATCTGTGGAGGCTACCGTTTGAAAGATAGATTTCTATTGCAGTATTGCAATTGTGTCACATATACCACCTCAATCACATCTCACATCCATGGCAATGGCATGTATAAGGACAATATGCTCAATTGATGTGGAAAGGGTCGTGGGTTTGATCCCCAGTCATAAGTTTCAAGCAAGCTCCCCATCGAGTTGGGCACACCATTATTATAGCATGGTTCTGGAATTGTCCAGTAAAAAGAGGACGACAGAACCAAAATAACTCTGCTGAAATCTACTAATATCTTGAATATATACTGTGTTTTTATGAGCGCTTGGACCACCCCAGAAGAGAGCATTGGTGCATGCTTCCTGAATATTTAACAATGTACATCCTGTTTTTCTTGTCACACAGTGACTTGCTCTCAAGTATGTTTGCACTATCTGGTACTAACATTTCCGAGAAGTGTAGTGACATTGCTATTTCACAGAGCTTCCATTTCCCAGCGGACCTGAACCATAATGAAACGTCACATTAACATTTTAACTATCTTTTTCCCAGCTTACCCTTGGTTGTGTTAACAACTTATCATAAAAATGTAATCTGTGTCCCTCCCCCTGCTGCATTTGTAAACATTTGTGAAAAGTTACATTAACCCTTTGACTCTCCTTTCCCAGCCTACCATGGTTGTGTTTACAACCTGTCACAACAAGCCTAATTGTTTATTTCCACCTCATGACTAGAACAGGCGAACTTCCGGCTAACAATGTTAACTCTTGCTCTGCCCCAATAGGAGTACGACTGGACAGAGTCCGAGGAGGTCGCCAGAAATACAAACGCAAAATCGACGCCGACCCGTCGTCATATGTCCAACAAGCTCCAGCACTTAAAAAGCCCTCCAATGGACCAGGTAAGGAGTAGTATTTGCTATTGTTTTGGTGTCCTAACACTAAACAAACGATTCAAGCCAAGGATGTTTTAGACTTTGACAGGGTTTTCAGGACTTTTTACTGTTGTGCCAAAATGTTGGATGCTGGGGTTTGAGGGCTTTCAATTTATTGTGTGGTTGTATGACCATTTTTAATCCCAGCTAGAGCTAAGAGGATTGGATTGATATTAAATGGAACATACTTCCATGTGGTTAGGTTGAAGGTAAAACCTGAAGAACTTGTCCCTTTGGTAAAGACAACTTTGTACTACATATCTACATGTAGGTATAGATGACTAGACATCTATAGAAATTAAAATGATTTAACCATACCATTTTTATAGTAGTTTTATAATTTCTGTTATGAAACATCTAAAGTTTTCTATTGCTTCAAACATTCTTCAGAAGTTTTGGAACCAGTGAGGCCTAAGATTTTAAAGCAACATATCCTTCTCCTCCTAAAGATATCTGTAAAGTAAGCAATCTTGCGCTCTGCAGATATGAATTCACATGCAGCATTTCATTGGAGTAGATGGAGATTGGTTATGTACTTTGTATTCAATGAAATAAAATCAATACATCCTTTCCAACGGCATTTCTTCGAGAGGATGGTAACAAGAAATAAATCAAATATTCCAGGAGGGATTTTCTCCACTTTCCTGAACCACAGACTGTAGTTTCTCACAGACCTGAGAGTCATATGTGAGGTGATATGATTTAACAGTGACTTATTATTTTCTCCTAATCATGTCTCTGTAATTCAATTGCTAATTAAATCAGGTCAGAGTTGTTGCAGTGTTTGTCTGCCTGAAATAATTGCTCTGGGAGCCATTCTGCTTCTGGCAGCACTGTCCAGGGGAGGCTGGTTAACTGAAGCTCAGACATGCAAGCATTGATTTCAGGTGTTTGAATCAAGAAATCAATGGTGTATTAACGTTAGTACCGTCAGATTAACTGGTGTATACCAGGAAGCAGTGCTGCATGCATTCCATCTTGTGACTCGGTGCTGTAATGTACGTTTCCAGGCCGCACGCGACATGTCCACAATTCTGTCCCCAAGAAGTTTGTGCTAGCGGGCGGTGCTACCAAAACAAAACGACAGGTCGTCACTTGTCCAACCAACTCACACAAGCAGCATGGCAGAAAAGGCAAGCCACTTCCTGTGTCAACCACTGTTCTATTCACTTCTACAACTGTCCTCTTCCAAGCAACTAACAGTTGATCTTCTCCACTCTCCATTGTGCATCCCTCGGATTTTCGATCATTCTGATCAATTATTAAACCAGGAGACATCTCTGATTGCAGAATGCACTTAGACATTTTAAAGCTGACTGCATGAGCCCATCAAGATGTCTTGGGATGATTGCTCCTGCCACGAGTGCTCCTTAAGATTCCCATAAGGAGTAATTCCCTGTACTGACAGCAATTCACCTTCCCTTCAGCAGATAAAATTAAGTTGACTCACATGCTGACCTTTGCTGAGCTATTTTGACAAAACAGGCACCTGTGCAATAAGGGAGGTTCGGTGGTTAGATGTTGAAATTCTGTTCTGTACAGACAATGAGAGACTTCCCATAGTTTGGGCGGTGGGTGGTATACTAACTCGATAGGGTCACGGGACCTACTTTGTGCAGTATTGAATTGATTTGTGCTTTGATCTACAAAGAAACAAGGCAGAATTAGCATAATGGTCTAAATCATATTCCCACTATTCATCAGCACCAGAGTAAAAATTGGCTTCCCTGCAAGGATGCTGGCATTAGTATTCCAAATCTATCGTTAGATGTTTCCCTTCATATCTGTACAAGATTTCCTTGGGGGAAGAAGAAGATGTCAACAGTAACCAAATCTGATAAAGTCGGAGCAGACCCATCAACACTGCTAACAGTTGCACGTCCCTGGCCCTTATCCCACATGCTGGAGAAACTCTCCAACCTTCCTCTTCATACTTCAAAAAGTCTTATTTTAGACAGTCTTCTTGGCAATTTGGTGCTCAGCCCTTAACTGCATCTCAGCATCACTTACTTCAGTCTGCCAGCTCAAAATTCAGTCACATAGAAGTCTGCTCATACTTACTTAGCAGTTGCACTCAGCTTCATAATTGAATCCTTAAAACCATCTTATCTTTTGCCTTGCTTCTGTTTTGCTGAGCTTCTCAGCCAATGACACTGTAAGACTCTAATACTAACATCAGCTTTACTATAGACATTTTCATTAACCTGCTTACCAAGAGATCCTTTCTGGGGAAGATTCAGTCCTGCCAGTCACCTGATCTCATCAACATAACCACCTTCTCTTCTCCTAGATGCCTTTTACTGACTTTCACTGTATAACATACTAAAAGAATGCCTTTACCCGTGAAAAGCGACAATTGTACAGGAATGACTTATTCCACCTTCTTCTGTCACTGTCTCTTGTCCAGTGAACAAGATTGTTGCCCACCTGATGGTGGCTGAGCCTGAGAAGCTGTACGCCATGCCCGACCCCACTACACCAGACAGTGAGCTGAAGACTCTGACCACGTTATGTGACCTGGCAGACCGGGAACTAGTGGTCATCATTGGATGGGCAAAGCACATACCAGGTAACATGTAGATTCAAGACATGGCTGAGTTTTGTTTGGAATATGACTGATTTGTAGCAAAGAACTTAGGTGTTTTGTTAATCATATCAGACTAATGTGGTCTTAAACGGCAGCATCAAGTTTGGTGACTTGATAACTGCTACCAGCAGCTGACGTTTCAGCACCATGGTTAGTCACAACAAGTCAAACTGGGTCGCAGAAATACCATACCTAAGTAGTATGTATGAAATTTCTTGAGGTCCTGCCATCCCAACCTTTCGCATGGGGTGAGGAGTTTGCGCATGTGGAATGTCAACCAAGCCAGCCACTTTGTTCCCAAATGCAATCTCCTCTGCCTGGTCCACACACGGGAGTTCAGACCTATGGAAACCCACGGCTTACTTAAGAGGTTTTCATGTAATCTAGCCCCTTTAGCCTGGGATTTTTGGATAGTATCCTTGGGTCTGAAATGAGACGATATCCAGGTAGAGAGCTTTTCAGTAGAGGGACTTACTGTAGTTATTGGGGCTTACACTACCCTTCCGGGATAAGATACTTTGGGTTTTCTGAAAGCTGCTGTGTAGAGGCTTTGTAACCCCCTGCCATGGACAAAAATAACTTCTACAGGGAGCTAAGTCATAGTAATGCTGTGTGGAAATGAAGCCGAGTCTTCTGTAGGTAAGCTTTTGTTGTCATGCAGTGACACAAAGTTAATTTTTGTAGGATGAGCTCACCCTGAGTTGAGTGGATACATTTCATGCCAAAATATTGGTATTATGTATGAGGAGCCATGCTTTCATATGAATACCTAGTACCTGGGCCATGTGATTAATTTGTATGAAGAATATCTTGTTCAGCTTTTGACCCAATTATTATCCTGTATAATGGAACATATCAGGACTTAAGACACTTAAGCAAATTGTTCTTTGGACAATCAGATTTTATTGGTCAATCAGCTTATAGTCCTGTGAATGACGACAAGATACTTCTACTTTTAACATGTATTTAATACAGTGTTTTTTTTATAATCCAAGAACTCCCTGAATTAAGGCCTCAATGAGTCACAAGTTGAAGCACAGAGACAATTAAAACAATGGTGTGACATGTAAATTGTCCATACTTCCAGTTTTGGTTCAGAAATGCTCATGATAATATCCCCCACAAACGTTTCTCACATCTGTGTTCCCTTCTGCAGGCTTCTCCAACCTGTCATTAAGTGACCAAATGAGCCTGCTGCAGAGCGGCTGGATGGAGATCCTCATCCTGGGGCTGGCCTTCCGCTCCCTGCACTACGACTCCCGCCTGGTGTTTGCAGAGGACTACATCATTGACGAGGAGCAGTCCCGGGCTGCAGGCCTGGAGGAGCTCAGCAGGTCTGCTCCTATTTTCCTCTTTTACTGTAGTCTACAGCCTAGTACGTATATGTGCAAAAACAATGTACAGGAGGTAAGACATAAACTGAGAGTCTTCACTCAAAATTTATATCAGTAGACATGTTGCCATCCTATGCCATACACTCTGTGAAAGGATCACATCATGAACCTCATGCTACACATTTAGATACATTTGCAGAAAGCATGGAAGTTGAAGAGGTTTTTAGATTTTGGGAAGAAAATAATATAATAGTGCTATTATTTTGAAATTATGTAGTCATAGCATGGATGTGCAAGCTTCGTGCAAGTGTGTGATGAGTGGTAACACTGTCCTGCATGAGTGGTAACACTGTCCTGCTGTGTTTGGTACAGGCACATCCTGCGGCTGGTGGGGAGGCTGAAGGCCCTGGGAGTGGAGAAGGAGGAGTTTGTGGTGCTGAAGGCCATGGCACTCCTCAACTCAGGTCAGGACATGCCCTTTCTCTGTAGTCCATGACCTAGATATTTGTATGCTGCTGCATGTGATTTCCTGAGGTCCTGTATTGAATAGCAAACAGGACAGGCAAATTGCATAGTAAAGGTTTGCATATAATGCAGGAGGATTTTGCAGAATGGGGAAATGGTCATCAAAATGACATAGCACTTACAAGATTAGCTCTTCTAAATAAATGTGGGGGGTTTTGTGCACCCTTTGTCTGTTTTTATCTGCACCCTGTCTGGATAGTTAAGGCAGAAAAGGTTTGGTCAGTGAATCTCAAATTCTACCATGAATTATGACAAGTGGAAAGTATTGTCATTGATGCAAACTCTTTGATGTTGACTTTAGATTGCTAGCTTTGGACTTGTTGAGAAAACTGCTCAGTTGACTCTCTATGCAGTGAAGAACGATAGCTCAATAGCATTCAACTCTACTTGTAGTGGGACATCAGCACATCTAACAACATGTTGTTTTTCCATACAAGTAAACTGCATACATAATTGATAAAGGACAGAGCAGTGTGTAATGTTATGGATGTTATGGATGTGATACAGTTTGTTTGAAGTCTCAAATGGGAGAGTTACCGAAGAAGTCAGTATTGATCCAAAACTCCGACACTGACATCAGTCTGATACTTCACATTTCCTCCGTCTGTGAGAGTCAGGACTGATGTATGAAACTGTGACAAGAAGTGTGTTGGCTGAACCCTGGCATGATGAGTTTGCTGAAGGTGCCACGGGATGTACGATCTGGGTCACAGGATCAAGGCACAGCATTGTTGTTGCCATTAGTGGGCCCTGCACAGAGCATGATAAGGTTGTGTTAGGCCATGTATGGCTTGGACAGTTTCCATAAAATATTAGGAATGTATTTGGGGCATTACTCATACTCTTGTAATCGTGAGGAAAAGGATTCGCTGACTGAAAGGAAGGCTTTGCTTCCAGGTACCTAGGTGAAATTTCCCAAGTTTCTGTTGTCTCTGTGCAAGTGATCTGAAGCGGAACGCTTGCTGTCTCCCGCCTGTATGGCCACGTGCGCAAAGATGGAAGGAATCCATTTATTTTCTATGGCCTTTTCCCCATTGAAAATGGCTGGGCTGATCTACAGGAACCCTGTGTTTAATGAAGATGCCCTGGCGTGCCCAAGTCACACCTCCTTGTTGGGAGTTCAAGGCACAGCATTGTTATCACCATTGATTTTCTGGCTGCAGAGTTGATGGATAGGGAGGGTTGAAGGGTCGTGGGCTTGATAGCATTACCTGAAGTGCATTATAGCCTAACCCTGCACTACAGACAAGTTCCTGCTCTATTCCTATCATAAATCACCACCAAGAAAGACCGCAGGAGGCTTTGCTTGCTGGTGATGCAATTTCAAACCACAAAAACCACATAGTATCTTTATTACCAGTTGCAGTGCTCTTTATCATCCCCTATACTTTCCCCTGCGGGCTGTCAAAATCATCCGTTCTATGCAATCTGTTGATTTTAAAATTGGTGGCTCAAAATTATATGTCATCAATCTTCTGGCAGGATTCCTTGAAACCCATGTAATTTTCTCTACCTGCACCATATTCAATATCTATTAGCCGCTGCAGAGTTCTCTTTCCATCTGCCATATCTTGCCTTCGGTTCCCAAGATGTATTATCTTTGCCACTCTGCAAGTTATAAATTGTTGTCCAAGTGAGATCTGATGATATCTGTCCATATTAGGTTACAGCTGCCTCTAAGAGCTCAGGAATTAAATCAATATGAGAGCAGCCTGTTTTACTTTCCTGTCAATATGGTGTCCAACAAGGTAACCAGAAATGACATGTTAAGTCGGAAGTGCACTTTCTGATCATGTTGGTGGATAGATACATCTTGTTTGTCCACCGCTCTCTGTCTGGTTTGATAGCTGCTAATACTCAATCCTCACCAATGTTGACTGTGGAAGGTGTTATTTTCTGAGCTCCAGCTTTTCTTATAAAAACACAGAGAGACAAAACCCCTGATGATATTGGTTATTGGACAATCAGAACTTTGTCTGCTATGATGGATGTGAGGGGCTGCCCTGCAACTTTCAGCCATCAATTTCCCCGTAGCAAAAATCTACAGATCAGATCAAGTTGGCAACTTTGTGAAACATGTAAAATGTCTGAACAGAGCCTTGATTTTGGGGTGATCCTAAACTTTTAACATTATGTAACCATGTTGCTGACTACAATGAGCCAGCATTGTTCAGGCTGCAGTACCAGCTGTTATCAGGAGATGCTGCCACCTGTGTCAGTGCTGCTCCCTATGATCCATTCCTGGTACTCCAGCCTGCCTCTAAAAACACCTCCCAGCCAATCTGGGCACAGAGAAGTGCAGAGATGTTGTGGGAGTGCCTGCCCTGGGATAACTTCCTGCTGGCCGTCCATATACATCAATTATGACAGGTTGCAGACAAAAACAAGAAGATGGCTCAGTGTGTGGGAGATAAAAAGAAGAGATAGAGAGGAAGAAACGGGCAATTTTATGATGTGACATACATTCCACTGTCTGCTGTGAGATGATACAGATGGATAGCCACTTTGTCTCTGGAGCTGAAAGTGATCATAAATTTTCCCTTTTGGTGGAAAGTGCAGGGTGCCACGTGCTGGATTAAAAACTGCTACTTTTATCCTGCTATGGGGCATTAAAGGAACTTGTGTTTTCAGGCTACTTTTGATGGAGCTCCATTTCAGAGATGACTCATCATTGCAATGCCTTAATGCAATCATCATCAAAGAATTCATCAGAACTGAAACTAAATTTATAAAGTATAGGTGTTACTTCTTCAGTCAAAACTAGTTGGATTCTATCCACTTTCCCTTATCAGACTGCAGTCGTGTACTTTAAGCTCAGAGGCTCTTAATACCACTAATCTCCTTGTTAAATCTGAAGAGACACAGTGGAAAGTTGGGAGGTGTAGATACATGATTGTATAGTCTGACTTGTAAGAGGTCTGTCTCCTTGGAAGATTATGATTGCACAAGAAATGACCTTGTAACCAGGATACATATACAAAGTTCTAAAATCACAACCACTGTCCCAAGAAAAGCATTGTGTGCAATTCCATGCATGGCTCTGTGCTGTCCTTATGCAAGGCTTCACAGCACACATCCAAGTGTATGCTATTACATGTGATCTCTAAGGGTGTCCAAACGAAACAAGTGGATTTCTGAACAATGATCTCTGCTTGGCCATTGTAATCCTGTAATGTTTGATGTTAATCAGCACTGTATTAATGAGAAGTTGTTCTGTTTCAGATTCTGTGTATGTTGAAGACCATGAGGCAGTACAGAAGTTACAGGATGTCCTCCATGATGCTCTCCAGGACCACGACCTTAACGCCCATCCTTCTGACTCCCGCCGCATCGGTAAGATCCTCATGATGCTGCCGCTACTCAGGGAAGTCGCCACCAAAGCCGTGCAACACTTCTACACCATCAAGATGGAAGGCCAGGTCCCCATGCACAAGCTGTTCCTAGAGATGCTTGATGCCAAGATATCAGAAGTTGTGTGTAAAAAGATGTACTAGTTACTGCATAGGGAACCATCCTTGAACTTTGACCAGGCAGCATAAGGATTAATTTTTATCTTTGAGTAGTGAATAGGTTTTATCCTGGCTTGGCAAATTTCTTCTGTGTCCTGACCAATGCAACTCACACAAGATGTAACTGTTGGTTTTCAATTGAAGCTGAAAACAGAGAGACGCTCTAGTCTTGGTGTACATCTTTGTCCCCCCCCCCCCAAACAATATGGCATGAGATGAGCATGAGTGGGAAAAGGTTGAAGATGGGTCACACTAGTTAACCCCAATGGAAGCACTGCCAGGTTCTGCCTGGATTCTGGATGGAGGTACATTTGGGTAAAGCTTGTCTCCCAAACCTTCTACAGTTTCTGGGCTCAACCATCTTGCAGTAGCCATTCTTGCAGAGTTTGAGATGTTTATATTGTGTTTCTGCAAGAGTGAAGCCGGAACTATGCAGGAATAGACATTTTACTTCAGCTGAAACAAATCATTTTAGAAGGACATATTGTGTTTACCCTTTTTCATAAGTGTTTATAATTTGTAAAGATCTGCTGATTGAATGACATTGTTATTTATACTTGGATTGCTTGTGTTGTACATGGTGCTCGTAGAGAATGTAATTATTTCCTTGATATCTGGGTATGGAGAGTTTTAAGAGTGATTTAATGTACAGAATTCCCTAAATCAGTAGAATATGATTTTTAATGTGTTGAAGATGAATATTGGCTTTCTTTGCAGTTTATACATTTGGTACTACTCTGCACGATTATGATTTTCTTCATTATTGCTGATCTATGATGCTGTATTGAACTGAAGCTTGTACATAGCCAGTTGTGTCACAAAGCAAGATTTTGATATTGTTTACTGTATGTGAAGTAGTGGGTTTGTGCCAATGTTATATGCTGAAAGATGATGTATACTTTGTTATTATATTATTTATAAAGAACAGATTTATATTTGTTGTTGTTGTTGTTGTTGTTGAACTCCACATGTTGGTACTGTAGCTATGCATAGTGTTGTGGCAATGGTTGTTACATACCAGGTCACAACATTCATTACACAATGAATGTTTTCCCAACAAAGACATTTTTCCTCTGATCAGAAAGAATGTTTTTATGACAAACTAAGTCATGACGTCAGGAATTGTCCTCGGTTGTACTCTCACTGCAAATGTCTTCTGAATCATGTTGCAAGGCTTTGTGACTTAGTCCCATTGGGAAACCTCAGACAGATCTAAAGAAGAACACAGTCAACCTTCCTGAAGCTATCTTCATATGATGATACATCAGTCCTCCTTGTTTATAGGTGGTAGCTCAGATGTACAGCAAATACATCCAGTCAGTATCCCAAGTGAAACTATATGAACAGAACTAGAAAACCCTCTTATAATCAACTGAAACTGTGAAATCTCTAAATTTACATAGTTCCCTTCAGATGAGAGTTCCTTCAGATCAGATGAAACAAATGCAGTGTTCTAATGTTGAATTGTTTGTATTCAAGTATCTTTTAGAGAAAGAGAGACTTGCTCCCATGACAAACCTGTCCATGTTTTGTGGGCAGCCCAGTTTTGTAGTAGAACCACTGATTAGTGGTAGATCATGTTGGATATCACCCTGTAGTAGGTACAACTTCTGTGATGGTAGCTGTTCTAGATGTGTGTTGGACCTGTGGTTCTTACTTGTTACATATCATATTCCCAGTATTACATAGGAAGAAGCCATTGTATACCTTTACCTATATCCTTGGACATGTGTAAACTTAGTTGACATACTATTACCATTGGTAAACACCAAGCCAAACCAATGTTCAGAATATGGCTATGTTACAGATGTAGCACCCAAGTTCTTCGGGTGGTTGTGTCCAAAACGGAAAAATGTCTGTCCAATTTTGTCCAGTTTTGTGAAGCAGCAATCCTGCCAGAGGACTTCTCGGGTGCCCCACAGGCAAAGGGTATTGTTACTGGGAGAACATTTAATCAAGGTAGAGGAGAGTTTATTTTGAGAATGTGATGGGAGAAATTTGATTGGGAACACATGGGGCCCCTCAGCTCCCATTCTGCTAGGAATGCTGCTGTAAAGAGTATCTGATTCAGTAGACGTCAGTCCCACTGTTCCAATGTGTAGAGTTCTGTTGGCTGTCTATTTCTGTATTAGACACAGGTTGATGGTTGTGGAGATCTTCACTGTTAGGTGGAAAACAGCCCTTGTGTTCACCAGCACTTGGATTGATTTTTCATTTCTATTGCAGAAGGTCCTTTATGCTGTGTACATAGGCGCAGCACTAGATGTTTTATCAATAAAGGTGTCTATGGATTTATCCCGCTCAATGTGTCTGTTGTTGTGTGCTTGATTGGAAAGGAGAAGACGAGATGGGGGGATTTAAATTATGTGATGAAGTGATTGTTTCATAGCATAGATTCATCTGGTGAATATCTAGAGTACCCATCCTGCAACTCACATGGAGTCATACACAGTGTTTGCATCAGTGCAATCTGCACGAAAGCATCAAGCAGTTACCGAGCTTTGTGCAGAAATATCAACTAGAAGCAAGATGTTCCTGATTATGAAATTCTGAATTAATGTTTGAAAAATACTGGAGATGGAAACACCAATTTGCATATATAAGAGCTATATCACACAGACTATCATTTGTGCACTCACATTTTTCATATGCTTCAGTCCAGATAGGTGCTGTTTCCCACCCTCTTTTACACTTGTCACAAGGAAGGAGGAAATGCACTTCACTCATACAACAAGAATCCAAAGTCCAACTGCTGTACTGCAGGCCACTGTGTTGTCTAGGATAAACGTTTTTATCTTCCATCTCAAGCTAGATGATAAAATTTCTGGCACAATATAGGTCACAAAAAAAGTGAACCTTATATACATGTAACTTCGTAAGGGCAACGTATTCTGTGTGCATTGAACCTATTTCTGTAAAAAGCCTATTCTTCACGTACTTAAATATTTCAGGGATTACGGGCGGTTGTATGTAACATATTACCTGTGCGCTAGAACTGAAAATAAATGATGATTCAATGCAAGGAAACATGTGCAATAGCAAATCAGTGAATCAGTCCGTTAGCAACAGTTACACACCTGCCTAGGCACCTTAGCGTTGAACCACCCTATTTCCATGGAACCTTACTCTGGTTCTTTCATTTTAATTCCACAACTGTTTAACAACGTACGTGTCAACATATACTGAACTAGAGTTCCCCGATCTCATACCTTCGCCAAATGATGTTAATCTTTATGACTGACAAAGTTTAGATTAGATTATCCCCCCCTGATTTAAGAAATAGGAACCTAATTTTCATGAATTATATTGTTTTATCATAATCTCAACCAAAAGACAAAAAGTCCTATATTAACAAAGAATGCATTCTAGCATTTCCTAATAAATTATGCAAATGAGGTCCTGATTTCAATAAATTATGTTTAATGATGTTCACCTCAATTTAACTTTCAAATACCACAAGTATGAAATTCCAGGCAGTTATCATTACATAATTATAAAATTTTCTCATTAATTATGCAAATTAAGTTCTTTTTAACATAATCAATATCTTCCTGTGTTTCTCTCATTGTCAATTACCAATGTCACAAGCTTCAATTGTCCTATCATGGAATGCAGCTGATTTATAGAATTTCCCCATAAATTATGCAAATTACATCCATATTTGCATAATTGTCACATAATTATATTAAGCATCACGTAAGCTACCTACATACCAAAAATCACGACGATCCGTCAACCGGTTCTTGAGTTATCCCCTTTTGAATATTTTCAAGAATTTATCCCTGCAGTTCCAGAGCAAGCCTCTAGGGGGCCTAAACTCACACCACTTCTTTCCCAGCACAAGAGCTACCTACCATCTAAATGTCAATACCATAGCATGTCTGGATCATGAGATATCAAAACCGGAAGTTCAGCTGCAGTACCATAATAAGCCGCTAGGGGGTCCAAAATCTAATCATTTTGAGGTCTCATCAAGACCTACCCACCTACCAAGTATCAAGACAATCCATCAAGGCCTTCTCAAGTTATCGTGTTTACAGACAGACACACACACACACAAACACACACATACACGAACGCCCCTGAAAACATAACCTTCTTGGCGAAGGTAATAATTACTAATATTGATAGGCACCTGCCATAGGGCGGAGCAGGAACGGTCGTGAGGTATATGCGTGTATTATAACGTTTCGTGCATGGCTTTTTCATGGGTCTGGTCGTGGTTTTCAAGTACTTCTCATTCCCCCTACGATCTGTCCTTGTCTGTCCGTGAGGTATGAAAGACTTACTAGTCAATAAAGATCGCACTTACTCTCCCAGGTTTGATGGGATGTCTGGTCAGGCCGCGGTGTGATATGGATGACTGATCATAGGAGGCGTTGTTGAATGATAGCCAGGTAAGGCAGTCTCAACATGTCTGGACGAACTCAGAAGATTTTCAAGTGGGTTTTATACAAATTTCTTCAACAAATAAGACTCACATCCGTTCATTGGAAAATATGTAACGTTCTGTAATCAGATGTGGACAGAGAGGGGTGCTAATCTACTGGCTTGTGTTAAACCAGAAGTTTCCTTCTTCCTTTATCTGTTTACTATGAAAGGTTGTCTCAGAAAATGTGTACATCTTTACATTTGAGCTAAAATGTTGTATAAACAGCGTTAATAATACCTACATGAGTGTACTATATTAAGATGTTATTATTAAATCATATGCCCATTTTCCACGTTATTTTGGGCCGTAATCCGTAACATATGGAGAAAGTTGATAGTTGTACTAATAGTGAGAGCTCAAATTTATTTCCGTGACTTCTTTGTTCTGGCATATTTATATCGCGAACACAGTACCAATCCTAACTTAGCTCCAAAGGCATCATTCGTAGCGTTCGGAAAATGACAGCGATGAGACGGAATTCGACCGGTTTCGACATTATTCGTCTTTCTCAAGAATAAAAGTTCCAAAGTCATCTTCTGGCATATTTCTCTTTCATCATCTGGCGAAGGTATGAGATCACGGAACTCTTTGTAGATCTGGAACCGCGTACCAATCGCCATGCATTGTTTCTTGATTAATAAATATTTACACAGATAGTGACTTTCCACCAGTTTTGCTTGTATCATCGTGGTTATCGAATGTGTATTACTGTCGTGTGGTCTGTCCTTGGTGCTGAAAATCTTTTTGTTAGAGAAAACTCTCTTCTGTTGTAACAAGATAATGATTGCGGTACCTTATCGTTTCTCAGTGCTATTGTACTCTCCATATTTGTTATATATCACATGGGGTATTGTAATTACCAATCTTTTCAAAGCTAGCTACGTCTGTACGACCTTCTCACGTGCATTCTCGAACAGAACATGTGATGGTAAATATCAACCGTATGTTTACAGTTTGCCTTTTGCCTGTCTGGTACTAGTATTCAATTCACCCTAATGTGTGATATTACCAACGGTTAGGGAAAGTAGTTAAAAAAAACAAAGTAAGAACTTAAATATTGATTTTGCTTTTTACTGGTACATCCGCAAAGAGGTGTTGCTTTGTATGGCGCAGTTGAAATAACAACATTAGCAACATCAACAAAATGTTGCATGGTACAAATTCCCTTCTTGTAATCTGATCAAGCTAACTGGAAGCCCAGAACATCTTTGAAGAAACACATCAGTCCTGATTATTTCAACAATTATGTAAACAGTATCTGACGCGTATGAACATACGCCCGGTAATATACATGATCCTTGGTCATTGCTGTAAACGTTTTAAGAACACGTTGGATCTGAAGACACAGAAGACGTCCTCCCCGGTGTTGCCGCCGCCGGACACGTGAGGTCACCATAAAGACTTCATGAAGTGTGAAAGGCCTTGTCCCTGTTAAACAAATTACAAGGCAACCTCTCCTTGGGTTTAATAGGCGTTCCATGCGCTTCACGCTGTTTGTTTTGTTGACACAAATGTCGTCCAATTTACATGTGCATAATACCGAACGACCTCGTATCACAGTCACAGAGTGGGCCGTATTTATGTGCTAGTATTACACGAATATGCGAGCCTGATGTTCATATACAATGGCTCTTAAATAACGTGTCCTGTCGTCACGCTGCAGGCCGGTTCCCACACGAGCTGTGCAACGTGACGTGCGGAACTCTGTCTCACATGTAATAATACTGAATAAAACGTATTTTGAATAAGATAAATCCACTTGGTGCTGGTCATTTGGCCGCTGTACAGAACTCACCTTGGGAGTGGGGGTGAACTCCCAATAGCAACTAGAATTGACGCACGTCTGCAAAAAAAGGACGGGGGGGGGGTATATTTATATATCAAGACTAAGGTTGAGGGGTTGACACCCATCAAAACAACATAACATGATGCAGGACCCTATGGAGGATCAGATACAGACAAAACGAGTAACTGCCAGTGCCTCGTGCATCGTCTGTGTTGCGTTCTGGTTGTGATGTATAACATTGTTTGACAGTATGTACATTCTCTAATGATATCTCTGTTGACTTACATGGTCTCTCTCTCTCTCTCTCTCTGTACCGACCTTACAATGTTCAATGACGTGACGTTAGTTCAAACTCTATGTCGGCTGGAAGGAATATGAGGCTGAAATATGTCCATTGCCTTATCTGTCATTTTCTGACAACCCAAGGGAGTCTCCAGCTGTAATGAACATCGAGCTAATATTATGTACATCATCACACGTGTGTGGCCACGTCTGCCCTTTCCCGGCGCCACTCCGGACCTGCGTGCTGCACGTCGACTCGCATCACACACGAGGCTCATCGAATAGGAAACTTTTCTCTCTCTCGTCGATCGCTTTACCTCGATACAGACCTACATGCGTACTGAAAATGATGTTATACATAATACAGTAGATTGAAATTCGCAACCAGTCACATTTTTTGTTGGTCGTCAACTTTGATGTCGTCGAATTTTAAGCATCATGTGACAGGAACATACCGCCGACAAAGAGCTAAGAGAGTCTTTATAATTCTGCAACAAGACAACTTGACTGCAGGACACATGCATAAATGATCCTACGAGTGCCTTTATTTTGCGATCGTTGCATTTGTTGATTACGTAACATTACAAGTAATCAATTCACGAGCAACAGCAGTAAACATTCAATCCACGGCACACGGTTAAACTTCAATTTGTTTACGTGCACCTATCTATCAGCACTCAAGAGGTACGCGGCGAAAGCTCTGATGGTGTATGAAGACGGCAAAAAATCACTGAAACTCAAACTTGAATATTTGAATGCACGTGCACTCATCAAACATCAACAGAGGCGAAGTCCTACTGGATAGTCTGGGTTAAGGATTGCTGGTAACGCACACCGTGAGATGCACAAACAGTAAGGATTCAAGGGTAACTTTACACGTAATTACTTCACACGTAATTTCATAAATGCGTCTCTAAAGCTGAATAGTATAAATGCTTATTCGAAAGTACCTTGGCGACTTTTGAACTTCCTACTTGCGAAACAGTTTTGTCAGAAAGGCTTTGAGACAATGTACACCATGTAACTTCAATAAACGTACTAGGGATCTTCAGTCAATGAGAACAAAAAAGACCAAGAGTCCGTTGGATACAATCCTCCGTGAAGTAATTGTACCATTAACTACCGGCACTTCCACAACACATCAGACTATCCGCACAAACATCGTTTAAGGAACACATCCGGGAATGGTTAAAAACTGTGGTGGACAGCTCCAAACCCTTTAATCTATAATTGCAATCTTGGTGGTAGAAGTAAGGTCGACAAAGTGTAACTATGAATGTTAATTTTATATTAAGACCTCTGACCTCTCGGTACAACTTGTTGTGTGTCTAGTTAAGCCTTGCCATGTTGTAACTTAGTAGTATGTAGTTAAGCCTCATCACCGGTTGTAGTAGTATATGTGTATAACGACTCCAGGAAGATTAGTATGTATGGACACTCAGTATAAACTAATGGAGATCGGTTTAATAAACAAATAAACAAACAAACGCCAAATTTCAGACAAATCCAGGATTTAAAGCTAGGATTTTGATTTATAGGTGCGGAGACACAGACACGTATAAAACCCAGGCTTTCTTTCGTGTGTGCGAAATGATGATGGCAGGCAAACTGTTGGTTGTCAATGGTACAAGACGTTGCGGGTTAAACTGTTAAAACTAGTTTTCAGAAAGTTACGACTGAAGCAATTCTCAAAGCAATGGGTAATTGTGTATTAGAAAGGGTGATTAGAAATCGGGACAAAAGAACAGGCCCCAAAAAAAAATACTAGTAAGAAGAGAACAAAAAAAGGGCAAAAGAAACAACTAGGCTGAGGCAACAAAAATCATTGCCAAGGCGACGACTGAATGATATATATTATTTCATGTGGTGGAGCTAGCAATCCACATCACAATTATAAGAAAAACAGATTTCCCTATTTTATAAAGACATGCACGTAGTGAAATTTACAGGATGGATGGAGGAGGTGTGGGGCAATATACCAAATACATCTATAGGACTCTACTACTACCAAACTTAAAACCATCCTCCACTCCACTTCACTCTATCCTCCACCAGAGACTTGATTTTAGGTCTGATCTGAAGTTGTTACTCCCCCTAGGACTTGCTCGACCTTTTGTGGGTCCCCAAAGGACAGATAATTTCTTTTCTCTGTGTGATCTGTTTGAATAAACCCACCCCCACCGGCCTAAATGTTCTTGGGGAGGGAATGTCAGATTCCTGATCAAGTGGTTTTTGACCAAAGACAGCTGTGCTCTCTGTCCATGGTCCATGGTGTGGGGAGAAGACAGACGACCAGTAATTAATCATGCCAGGCAGCTGGATGGGTGGCACGTGGGCACCGGGTGTACCTGCTTGGTCCAAAAACCACATGGCCGAAGGTTACCTCAGAACCAATTCCCTAGGGAATACATTGGTGCAATTTTTGAAATTCTTTCAAAACGATCGTAGTACTTGCACAAATGCCTCTGCCCCAAAGGCGTCGCCAAAAAACGCAAAGCATATTTTTACTTTCCAAACGTTTTCAGTCACCATATGGTTGCGTTTCCTTGAGATGCAAATATCTTTGCCAAAAAAGGCAATTTGTCTATAACGTTACGCACTTCAAGTTAAGTTATACCTAAACTTCCAAATAGATATTGACTAATAGTAGTCTTCAAGTAGATGTTGGGTGTACTCAAGTGGGGTGTACTCACCCCAGTGGAAGATGATAAGTCCTGACGTTTTGCCAGGTTTCTCATATAACATATGTGTTACACAATCTCACTGTAGTAGGCCGGTCAGTCGAATGGGCCGCTATGATCATGAGTGTGACCATGTTTTTCTACCTCCATGGTGTGACTTGAACTTGACAGCCAGGCTCCTCTGACCTGCTCTGTCTCTAGTCTTCAGCCTGCTCGTCATCCACCCAAATATGTGCATATGTAGGTTAGACTTAGAGCAATGATAGCATCTTCGTCAACCAGTTGAGGAATAATATAACCGTTAAACTTTATAAAGTAGGTCATTTTCTTAGACTGGACTGCTAAAAAAGAAGTTTGTTAATAGAGAAATATAACCAAACAAAAGGGGGGCAATACAGTGGAATATTTAAAAGTGGAGGGAACAGAACAGTGAAAATGTTTCAGAATAGGTCAATATGGTCAACCAACTGTGGTTAATGTCGTAGGGCGAGGCAGGTAACACGTGAACCAGGCAGGGTGAGCTACCTGCACGTGGGACCTAATCCACACACAGCATGTGATCCCAAACAACACAATAGAGTAGGTAGCCCCGCCCATTTGACCCTGTTTCGACCTTCTCACGCGGGATGGGTGCCAGTGGGGCGGAACGTCTCCCTTTTCTTTTCCCTATGGACCCGGACTGAACCATCATGTTTTGGGGAAATGGCTAACCATGATCTGACTATGCATATAAAAAAAAACAACTATTTCTGACACACTGCATAAACCATCATAAACAAGTATAAAGTAGCATTCCGTTATGCAAGTTATTTTATACTTTGATTCTGCAAATGCTGTAAATATGATAACTGCTGACTTATACCTCCCCGTTCTTGGAGCTAGATGGGCCCTCCCCCGTACAAAGATTGTTGACCGGGTCACGCATGTTTAGGGCTGTCGTCGACAGCTGGGTGAGGTCATCTCAGTGCTGTTATTTTCCACAACACAGACGTGCCTCACATGGCAGCTCCACGTGCTGCGGCCGGCCCAGCCGCATCACACACCGTATAGTACAATCCGCACAAAGTAGTCTATCCTCAAATTTCTCATATTTGTGAACAAAGAATACATTTTGATACGCTATACCTTTTGTAAAATATAACTGGTGGTTTAAATTGACCTAAGGTTCAAGTGTTCGGGAAATCTGGAGGATTTTATAACGCGGAGTGATTTGTGACGATTACATAGATTACGTAAATCGCCACACATGTCTTCGCGTGTGACAGGCCTTGCCTTCAGCTCAAAACACGCTTGCCGGTCGACCAATACGTCTTTTTCCAGAACGAAGCAAGACGATCGAGTTTTTGCAGGTGAACACCTTTGTTTCATTTCCAATGATTTCTATGTAATTGGTGGAATGTGTTGCTTTCTAAACTGTATTATTTTCTGATGATTTTATCTGGATTTTATCGTAGCGGCATACCTCCAGACCTCTGTATGCATTCATTACGCCTCTTATTTGGCATGCTGTAAATCAACGACTTTGTCGAGAAATATTGCTTTAATGCGTGTAGGAAACTGATCGCCTGAATTTTGTACCCTTCAAAATGTGGTGGAAAAGATGGGGTGAAATGGTATTTTGGGGGTTCCATTTTAGGTCGACGTGACCCCTGTACGGACATGCAAATTTTTGGCCCATGGAGAGATGCCAAGGGTTTCCTATCCCTACTGGAAAAGGAAATATTCTATCTTTTACTTTATTCGACTCAATCAGGTGCCATATTTGTTTCTCTATGCTCGATACGAAGCTCTCTGTACGACAGGCGCTATTACCACCTCACGCTCGGCTACACGTGCACCGTACATAAATAATAAGGTAAAACCAGGGTAAGGTTGTTTAATTATTCATGAGAACGCCTCACGTTCTCCAACTCTTGTGCAGTCGGTTGCGTTTATCTTCGTGTCTCCGTCTGTACGTGCCGTGATTTTTCCAACAATTCTTTGTAGTCTTTATTGCAAAATTAAATACGCGATAGCAATGATTTTGTTTTTGGTATTTTTTTTACGATGAATGGATATAACGGAATGGCAAAACGTCCCAACAACTGTGCTAGACACCTGTTTGTAATGTCAGAGTTGCCGTCTTTGAATGTGGAGATCGCACAGTAGAAAGGTGGCGAGTGTAATAAAAGTGCATACATCACAAATGAATAAACGTGCATGCAAGTTATTTTAAAGTAAGAAGCTCAAGACATTTTTACTTTTTTTTAGGTTTCCTTGGGTAGGGTAAGGTGTTTATCTTGAACTTAATGCATTTCAAGTGTTTGACCATTTACTGAAAGGAGAAAACCTTCCTCGAAAAAGTTGCCAGCCAGTGAATTTAAAAAAGCCAATCTTCTCGTGTACTGAATTTGATTTCCTCATAAATGTTGTATGTCTGTTCCTTAACAGTTTGGTTTTGAAGAATGGTTGTAATACTATATTCCACCTGTTTTAATAGGTTATGCAAATATCTTTTCAGATGAATTTAGTCAACTTTTCAGAATACTATGTACCGAAATAGCTGTCTTCAGCTGATGCATGTAACATAGCATTGATAATCATCATCTTCACCTTCAGATGCAAACAGCTGCTCCTCTTCTAATACTGAATGTTGTAGAGTGGGGGTACCTGGGTTAGTTATATCCGCTCCAATAGCCACTACCCCACTAGCAACTATTGGAGCAGACGGAGCAAACCAGGATGGTTCTCAGGCTAAACATGTGTGTGCTAATAGTCATATAGTGTCCCAGACAGGGACAGATTGTATACACATTTCTAGTAGATCTATGGCCACGAGAGCAATTTCTGGTCTTTGATCACTCTTGGTGTCTTCAACAAACATGTTTTCCTGGACTCACTGCAACTTGTATACATATTAACTCAGTTCCACCACTATCTATAGTGCATAGGATGTGCATGCACTAATAATTTTGTGTCTTGATGTTTCAGTATCACTATGCCTCCTCCAAAGAGACCGAAGAATGGACCAACCCGAGCAGAGCAGTTCTTGGACAAGCCCACAGATCCTCTTGAAGCCATCATTAGGAGGTCTCTGTTGAGTGAACCAGGGAAGAAACAAGAACGGGACAACAAAAGTCCCGGAAAAAACCCAGGTGGGTCTTCAGTCGGCCCATTTTCAGTCCCACATGGACAGCCAATCATGATGACCCCTCAGATGGGGATACCCAGAAGCCAAGGCCACCAGGCAGGGACCAGACCCATGGCACAGCAGCCTCGTCATGCAGGGGACAGTGATGGTGTCCACAACGAACACACCAGAAATCATCAGGAACCACAACAGCTTCTGGTGGGCATGGTCTCCCCTGTCATGATGCAGAATGGCTTCATGTACCATCCCTCATCAGTCAACATGGGGCCCCATCCCATGTCTCACTCTGAAGGTGGCTCCAGACACAAGGGGACTGGACAGTACTTCTCCCCTGTCAACTACGTACCAGGACCAAACGGATGGGCCATGGCCTATCCAGACATCCACATCATTCCCCCGCAAGGCCAGGCCCCCAGGATGGCCACACCCACCAAGGCAGCACTGAAGCAGAGCCCCATATCTCCTGTCATGTCTGTCCACGGGATGAGGCAGAATGGAAGAATCCAGAACGGGATGATGCAGCAGCACCATCACCCAGATATACTCACCCTGCACAATGGGGGAAGGTAAGCAGAGCCATTGATGATAGTGAGTGGACATATGAGTTGCACTGAGTTGATTCCTGAGATTGGGAAACACCTTTGAGCTAGGGCAATATCAAGTCAGGAAATGAATGCAAGCATATCTAGTTGAACAGGTGGTGTATGATAGCTTTTGATTACACAAAAGTGTAAATGCACTGATATAAATGTAACCCTGAGTGCAACACATTCAGAAAAAATGACTGTAATATGGTGGCTATTGTTGATTCATACTGTTTGATGTTTCACAACCTGCGGTGAAATTGTTGTGACCAGGAGATCTGACCAATTTGCTATTCTTCCTACTAGACTACAAGTTGCTCAAGTTGGTGATATGTGTCCCGACCAGTTCTCCAAAGGCAGGGACTCTCCAGCCAGCAGTGGCAGCTCGATAGAGAACAATCAGCCTCAGGTTAGTATATTGACCAGGCAAATATCAGTCTTATTAAGATACAAATAATGTAAACTGTAATTCTGTTAATCTTGCAGAGATTGTTGAAAGCTGTCCAGCTTTTAACATTTTTTAGGAATCACCCAGGAAGTATTATGAGACGTTTGATATCTTGTACAGGTGAAAGAACTGGACAACAAGGCCCGTGCAGTTTGCCGTGTCTGTGGGGACCACGCGTCCGGCTTCCACTATGGAGTCTGGTCTTGTGAAGGTTGCAAGGCATTCTTCAAAAGGAGCATTCAGCAAGGTGTGTTTCCTAGTATTAGTGGTTGTCATATATGAAAAATAATATTTACAGTAGCCTTCTTTAGAGCCTACAGTGGTTATGTCCTCTAACAGAAGGGAAAGGCGAGATTCACCAAATGTTGACCTAGCTATTGGACCAATCAGCTGTATTTAGATGGTATTTAGGTCAGTGTCCTCTAGGTTACAGTTCTTTATCATATATGTATCTGGGTCAGTCAGAAAAGATGCTGCCTTTGTTACCATCTGGTACAGGTCATTAGATAATTAGACCATTGTCCTGTAGGTTACCATAACCTGTAACAAACCTGCAGGACGCTGACCTATGTGACATCTGTCCCATGGGAAAACTACTCTAGGCATGTACTTGATGTAACGTGTTCTAAACATCTTGACTTCTCAAAAGGCCCATACCATAGATTTAGACCCTGCATACCAGACTTAAAAAAAAAACGGTTGAAACTGCTAAATAATTAAAGAGGGAAAACCTGGCTTAAACCTCTAGCATTCATACCAGACTTGCATGTACATAACTGATTTTGTAAAAATCTTGTCTGGTGAATATCCAATTAATCCGCCATGATTGCAGTTTAAATAACCGTTCCTCCTGCTCTTCTGATTGTTGTCCTTGGCCTTGGCACTGCTCCGTTATCTTCAAGAAACCATGCTCCCCAACTTGACTGAAATTTCCAGGTTAACATTTTTGTTTCGGTACAGTGCCCCCCCCCTCCCAATAGCTTTGTCGGCGACTCCAAAAATAGATATGAGGAGCTTGGTCTCGTCCACACTCTCGTCCAGGTTGGATATGCTGATTCCATTGCAAAATTAAGAAAAACCATGGAAAAAGAGTGGAAATGAACTCAAAACAACGCAAAAAAAAAACTTGGAGGTTGCACACGGCCTGGATGCTGACCCCGTGAATCAGGAATTATGACGTAAAATCAGGTTGAATAAACCCTTAGCATTCAGACCAGGTTTTTGGGCAGAAAAAAAACCCCCAAAACCCTTACTAAACCCCTAAAACCCTGAAAAGACGGTTGATTTGCATTCACACTGTCACTAGGCTAAATAAAAAACATTTTTGAAAAAATGGTTGAAACTGCTAAATAAAAGTCTGGTATGAACAGGGTCTTAATGGGGATCCAAGGACTTGGTAGGCAGATTGATGCATCAATTTGGCTTATTGGTCCCTGAAGAGAGAAGCCCTTTATTACTGAAACACCAGTGATGGAATATGATCATCAGAAGGAAAATGATAATATAGAATGTAAAGAAAAGTTCAAAGTTGGAAAGATGGAACTTGGGGTGTTATATCTATCACACAAATTCTTCACTTCTCAATGTAGCTCTGTCTTTTAAGTTGAATTTCTTTTCCCTCCACATTCAGGTCAGACAGATTACATCTGTCCAGGCACCAACCAGTGCACCATTGACAGGAATAGACGAAAAAGCTGCCAGGCTTGTCGCTACAGGAAGTGCCTGATGGTCGGCATGACCAAAGATGGTGAGAAAGGAGTCTTACTCAATGGCAGTTTTGTTAAATTTCATAATTAGTTCTTTTTTATCAAATGAAAGAATTTTTGACCAATCAAAAGTGCATCTCATGTTTTTCAGGTAGAAGAAACGGTGAAAGAAGAGGGCCCAAAAGAAAGCGGACACATAACCAAATTGACATGGGGTCCACAGGAGCAGGTAGCTGTAAGTCCTCAGTGTCACCACTCCCGTCCTCAGCTAGTGCCTTCAACAAATCCCGGTCAGCCTCGCCTACAGAAAATAACAGTTTTGACAGCGATGGTGACAGCTCGACGGGAAGGGAATTCCAGCCAGCCTCTCGCCAGCGACTAAAAGCACTGATCGATGCCCTGGACTTCAAGGAAGTGGAGAATAGAGAAGAGAATCACCCAATAGGTACAGGCCAACCGGCAGGCAGCTGGCAGGAAATCTCCAACCCAGAACTGATGGAATCAGTCAGCAGCCTGGTGGACAGGGAACTGACTGGGATCATCTGCTGGGGGAAGAAAATTCCAGGTACAATGGAATGAGTTATTAAGACCTAAGTTTTTAAAATCCATATTGGAGTCTTAACAGATTGTCTGACTACTATATGGCAGTGGCAGAATAATGCATATCGTAGACTTGATCTTCCTAAATGTTTGCCATGGTCTTAAAGAATTCAAATCTTTTGGTAAGATGTAGATAACGGTAGCTTATCTTCCTCTCACAAATGTTTTTTCATATTTCCAGGGTATTCCAAGCTGTCATTAAACGACCAGGTGCTACTTATGGAGTCTACTTGGCTTGATCTGCTGATCCTGGACCTGGTATGGTGCTCTGTCAGACATAAGGGGGAGAAACTGCTGCTGTCTGGGGGAGTCCTTGTTAACAGGTCAGTGATGCAAGGTTTAAGCTCATGCCATGTATGTCCCTTTGAATTCTTTCAATTTGCATCTACATGTACATGTACTTCGGTAGTTGCTTTCCTGCTTTCGGTGTACAAACCAGTAAACAGTCAAGAGAGAGAGAGAGAGAATGTGAATAAGATATAAGAAATAAAGTCATGTAGGTGATATCTTCTAATTTCTGTCTCTTCATAGAAACACCATTTCCAACCGGAAAAAAACTTCTTCTGGTGACGATAAGGAAGTCCTAGAGATGTGTGACCAAATCCTGTCCATTGCCACCAAGTTCTTCGAGATTGATCTACAGAAGCGGGAATACCTGTGTTTAAAGGCCATCACCCTTGTCCATGGCTGTAAGTTGGGTTCAATGTTACTGATTGTATATTTACCATGGTATAATATGGTACATGATCTGATGCTTCATGGTTAATCCTTTATTCTTAGTACTTTGGTATTGGTTTACAACATTTTGGTTGGGAAAATGATATTATTGGTATGCTCATCAGTATCATTTGTCTTTGATGTGCAGCTCTGAAGGGGTTGGAAAGTGATACCCAGGTGCGCCAGCTGCAGGATGACCTGACAGATGCCCTGATGGACGTCTGCAGCGAACGCCATGCCCTGGGCTCCCGACGTCCTGCGAAGATGCTGCTGCTGCTATCACACCTGCGACAGGTGAGTGCCAGGGCATCGTCTCACCTTGGCGCAGTCAGAAATGGTCTGAAGGTCCCGTTGTACGACATTCTGCTGGACATTCTCACAGACCAGGTGTCTGAGGGCAAGTGTGACCAGCAGGCTGGTCATAATGATGTGGCCAGCAGCCCAGAGAAAGAGAGATGATCATAGCAGAATGAGAAGCACAATGGTAAATATATATATATATATAACGTTATATAATATGAATTTCAAAAGTATATATCATCTCTTATATTTTGTGTGCTTTGGTGTGTACAGTTATTGTTTTGTATTTGTGTTGTTAATAAAGTACACACTCTTTTTGGATATTATCTTAATTGAGACACGTTGATGTTATCTGAAGATGTTGTTCTTTTGAAGTTGATTTTTCCCAGAGGTTGGATGTAAAAATAGATAAAAAGTTACAGAAGTTCTGTGATTGATTTGTAGAACTGTTCAAGTCCTGGATGTTGGCTTTGGTCAGAAAAACTATGAACAGCTTATGTATCAAATTGAATGTCAAAGCATGGCTGTATTTGGAGATGGTGTTGTGTTACTTAGCCTTGATTACACAAGTGTTTTATCTTTTGTCCTTCCACGCATTGAACAAAGTGAACATAAGCTTATGCTTTTGTTGGTAGGCAGTGTTACTCTACAGTCTGTATTGGGATGTTTGCACTTGTAAAAAAGGAGGGCAGTCTTTTGGAGAGCAAAAAGGGGAAAACAGCATGTCATCTGTTGTCCATGTGAGATTTCTGTATCACTATCAGATATGTCAGTTGTCTAACAGTTTTACTCAGTCTTTCTTGAAATGAAATCACCAACATCCCCAAGCATGCCAGCTGAAAAGTAAGTGTTGGAATAGTTTTTTTCCCAGGTATTTCTGTGTTTGTGTTGTCATTGGGTGAATTTCAATGTGCAATATCAGATGCACAAAAGCTCTGTCAAGCATCTCCCAAAGAAAATAAAAATTAACAAAGTGTTAACATTATAGATCCCCATACTGGTATATTCATGTGGGGACTTGAATATATATATATATATATATATGGTTACAGAAAACACTTAAGATGTATTGTTTATTGTATATTTTTTGAGAAGAGTGATGTATATTATGTGCTGTTCTGTAATGTACTAAAAACAGCAGGAGCACAATAAAAGTTCTCTGTTCCGAGGATGTATGTTTGTCTGCCTAATCAGTTTGTTTCTTGTTCATCTACTTGTTAGCCATGTTAGCAGCAGCCGTTCTACAATATTCAAGCTTAAAACATGTAGTTATCTAGCAGCACAGGCAGTAGCCATTACTACTTGTCTATATTTGGTAGTTTTCAGATAACTTGCATATCCTATTCATTACCCCCCCCCCCCAGCCTCCACAAACATATTACATGTATTTTTGAAAGTACACTGGTCTGTAAATAGGCATGTGAGGGTGGGAACAACCATCATTGACAGCACAATATGGAATCAGCTTAATCTCTTTATTCAATGTCTATGTCGTACCAATACTTCTGGGACAGAGCTACTCTATTTGCATCTGTAACATTTCTAAAACTTGGCATTCATTTCCTTCATATTTCTCTGTTAAACTTTCATACAATCCTGTACATAAACCATCTCTTTACAACCTTATAGTACAAGCTACATAAAATGGCTACAATAGGTAAAAGGCAAAAAACAAAGATGAAAATAAATATGACTATAAAATTGCAAAACACGTATTATTAAAATTATAACAGGTAAAAAGCAACATACAATTCAAACACAATACATGGACAGATCTGGCCTCTTTAAACAATAACTTCCAAATGGATCTTATATATGCTGACATATGAGAACAGTTCTACAAGAACTAAATAAACGGCACAAACTGACCTCCATGCAGCTGCAATAAATATGATCCAATCATGTACATAGTGGTAAAAGCTGCAGTAAATAGTGGTAAAAGGTTAGGACAGATGTTAAAACACTGGCATGATTTGCATAAAACTATACATTTGCATAAAACTCTTGTACAACAGATTTTCTGTCTCACATCTTAGTGGTGCTTGTTCCGAGCTGGTGGCTTATGTGACCATGTAGAGGTACATGTATGTATGAGCATTACATTTCACAGCTGGCAATACTTAAATACGTGTTGATCTTTTCTGTAACTGGACCCAAAAAAGCTGCCTTTGACTGTCCCCCATGGGGTTGAGATCAGAATGTTCCCACCACAGAAGTGTCCGTGCAACATCTTCAGGTGAAGGGGGTGTCAGTATTACATTGGGGGAGGGCCATTGACATATCTGAGTACAGGATGGAGGCTCATTCCCCAGCGTGCCACCACACAGTTATAGTCCTCCTCACACAGTGGTACCAGACAGGCTGTCCCCACAAGGAGCAGCATCAGGATCTGTAGGGGAACGGCCTTACGGAAAACCCTCCTCAGGAAGCCTGGGCGCCGCTCAACACCCTCCTCCTCCTCAACACACAGGTAAGCTCCATCTTCTTCACCAGAACTAAACAGACACATGACAGATCAGTGCTTGAAGGTAAGAGTATGAGAAGAGGAGCAAAAAAAATCCTGATTGATGGCAGGGTTATAGCGTGGAGGAGAGATCATGGCAGATGAATCATGAGCAAAACAAAACCACATCACTACAAACACTCAAAGGGAAGGTTATTGCAGCAGGGAATACAACTACATGGCATCTAATAGTTTTCTCTAGATGACTTTAGAACTAGTAACAGCTGGTGAAACACACTTTCTGCACACAGAGGATTATAGATTAGTGTGTGGTAAGTACTACGCGTTAGACTGTACTATAGAAGCTGCAGATCAGGGTTGAGTTTGTTGACCATTGAATGGTAACAAAAATCATGGCAGCCACGACTGAACTGTTCAGTTTCAGTTAGTTGCTTCAGTCCTGGTACAGTCATAAACAATATGTAAGGCAGGAAGACAACATAAACCTATGGTGGTTTGACAGTGTTTCAGCATGTCAACATGACACTTGTTAGTTACGTTTGGATCACAGATGGGACAATGCAGTTTGGAGTGTCTGAAATAATTTTGTACATGTCTGTACCAGGACAATGCTTCTAGCTGATCTGTGTCATTTGTGGCAGGTAGGCTGATTGGAGTGATTGGATGGCTGGTCTGTAAAGTTAGTGAGAGTACTGATACCCTTGGTTTAAAGCTGAGAAGTCTCTGCACAACGTGGGGGAGCTGTCGCTCAGCTTCATCAGTTTCACTGTAATCAGAGGGGAAGGCCACACACAAGCTGAGTTAGCCGTGCAACACTCATGTTTACACAAGCCATGCAGGGGGAGTTTGCCCAGATACAAGGTCCCAATCATGGTGCATCACCTCCCCAATAGTCACATCCACCTTCATTCACTGGTTAAGTCCATCACTGACTACAGACTGTCATCATTTCAAATGGAGACATAATGCTGTTACTGCAGCATGTTACACCCCCAAAGGAAAATGGTACTGCCCTGCAGTGATTTTCAGACCAGTGAACAATGTGGAAGGGGGGTCTTGTTTGCACACAGGAGAGGGAAGAGTCCCTATCATGTGAACAGTACTACAGAGTAAGCAGAAGGTACTACATGTAGTATGGTCTTACCCAGATTGCCAGCTACACTACTAAACATCCTCTGCATCACACAAATGGTACGGAATGCATTCAGTGGGGCCAAAAAATGTGGTTCAGTATTTGTAAAACATAGTCCAGTATTGATGGTGATAAAAATCTCCTTAACTTTTGTGACAAGGGCTTTGTGCAAACTTCTTACCAGGAGATGCACAGTGTTCTACCAAATAGGGGTCAGGAGAAAGATCTCATTTACTTCCACAGAGATAAAGCAGAGATGTTCAGATATGTTAGAAGGTGAGTATGTAATGCAACTGACATCAAAACCACCAAATGCAACATAACATACAAAAAGTGTGAGGCATGAAATGGAAGTAACAACATGCAGGAAAGAGTGCGGGGGAGTTGACCTGACTATGCATCACCAACAGAACATGCCCTGCTTTTCAAATGTATGAAACAAAATGGGAATCGTTACGTCATGGAAAATAACAACATGAGCAAACAGCACCATAAATAAACACATTGTTAAGAAAGTGCTCTAAAGTCACAACATGAAGGTAGAAAATAATACTACATGAAAGGGTTTTCCTTTATGAGAAATATTACATACATGTATCTTACACATACTTTAAAAACTGTCTGATAACCATAAATAAAACAAAAAACACATCAACAACAATGACACAAGGAACCAAAAAATGCATTATGAAATCCCATAGCCTAGGCTACTGAAAATGAAGGTTAAAGGCCCTGTTCTGACAAACATCTGACAGGACCAAGAAGCCCAGAACAGGGTCAACTTACCTGTCTGAGTCTAAGACATCTTCCACCACCTCAGAAGAAGAGTCCTACAGATAGGATAGACAGAAGCACACATCACCTTTAACCCATCACCACTCACAGAACTGACCAATGTCCCATGAAAATAGCTTAGATAAACACAGTTCCCAAGCACCACACACTGCTCCCTTGGACAGTATTATCAAGACTAGGCTAGGGGGTTATCAGAGCAATTTCACACACAATTAGGCATTCCCAGAGGCAAATGTGTTATCACTATTAGTTACATTTTGAAGAAGTCTCAGAAGCACAGTAGCTTGTCTTGTGTATGTCTGATTTTTCTCAGCTTCAAGAGAAATGAAGTCTGTTTGTTCTTAAATGTAGTACTTGAGGCTTAAGCTATAACCTCAGGCTTAGTTCCTGCCTATTCAACAGATGCGCCCACCTTGTCAGAGGAGATGGGTGTGCTCGTCCTGCCTGGTCTAGCCAGCATCCTGGCATCAGCACCTTCCAGCTCCACCTGCCCCTCCCCAGTCACCACCCCAAACAGACCGCTGTCTGTCTCAGCGATCATCCCTGCAGCAGCTGCTGCTCCATAGAACCCATGTCTGTCATCATCCTCATCCTCATTGTAAGTGTTGTCCATCTCTGCCAGGATCCCTGCCGCAGCTGCAGCACCGTAGAAGCCGTGTCTGTCCTCATCATCATCCACATCTGGGGAGGATGCAGGGGACGAGTCGGCTGATCGTTCCAGCTTGAATGTGACAGTTTTCTCTGGAGTCTACGGGGAGGAGAAAAGACACAATAAATCATCATTGACTATTTTGTGAAATTCCCATTCAAGTTATCAAGACGGGAGTTAGTATAGGTCTAATTACACATGTTCCACAAAAACAGAAGTTGTACACCACTGCAAATCATCATAAGAAAGGGTACTGTTACACACCAAACTGACTGCCGAGACATCTACGAGTCCCTCTATCTGCTTCAGGTCTGCAGAGATGACCTCCAGGAGGAGGCGAAGTCTGTTGTCGATGATGTGCAGGTTAGACTTGATCTCCAGACTGCCCTGGCTGTCTGCAGTCTCCAGGAGCTGGTCTGCTGTGCTCTTCAGGCCGGCCACACGGGGCTGGTTATCCTGAAGCTCCTGTTTTAGCCTCTGTGAAACACCATCAGTGTACGGTAAGGACTAGAAGTTAATCATGTGAAAAAAGAACAAAATTGCAAAATACATGTCAAACATCTTGATGTTCATGATCTTTTCATCAGTAGAGACAACTTACTAAAGTTAGCGACATACACCTATTACATTGTAGGTACTTTATTGATAATGTTTGAGAAGTGCAAGGTACAATTGAGTTTCTTAATAACTTGGCGAATTAAGTGGTGGGCCATTCTGCCACATTTGCTTTACCAGGAGTGCCCTGTACTGTTTCCTGAGTGTTGCCTGTGATGCATCAAGTTCAATTGGATCGATCCTGTTCCTCCTTCTCTCCACTTCATCCAGCCAGGCAAACAAGTCTGCTACAGTGTTCTGCACCTTGTAAAGGTATTAATTTGTTGAAAGTAATTAGTCACCGAATGCTCCAGCTCATGACAATACATACACTTGGACAAGATATTTTCCTAGGATATTTGCCAGGTATAACATTCCTACTACCCGTTGACTGCCATGTGAAAAATGTTATCTAAAGGTACTCAAAAGTACTACTTTGTCACAGGATACAGTGAACTGTAGACTATTTCAGGTGTTGCATTGCACTCATATGCACAATGACAGTACATTTATTTACCATCATTTTGTCCTAACAACATACACTGCTATGACGGTGACTTACTTCTGCACATTGCACCAGCGCCACTTGTAGCGCCCTCTGCCACTCCACGGCATGATTGCACACAGCCTCCCAGCGGTGGTTCATCAGTGTCAGTCTGTCCCGGAGTTTCTGAGCATGCTCAGAGTCTCCCTGAACGAACTGAGGGCTGCACAGGTTGATAGACATGACAATGGCTTTCCTGAGATCCAATGCGGCCAGGAACTCCTGTAGGGTGGTAAGTAAGCCATGTCAGTTTGTTGACTACCTTTTCTACTTTGATGTATTTATTTTTTTACACAACTGTCAATGGAGCAGATACCCGTGTACAGCTGTAGGAAGGGAGACTGACCCTGTGTTTCTTGATCTGTATCTCCAGGGAGTGGATGTCTCCAGCCACTTGGTCCTGTTCCCTGAGCAGCGCCTCGGCTTCGTTCAGCCACAACATGATGTTGTTCAGGTCTGACTGAAACTGGTTCCACTGCTGGCAGGCCTGTTTGAGTTTGGTCTGCTTCTGCATGGCAGCCTGCTTCATGGAGTCCCACCTGTCCAGAACACCTGTGGAAACAGAGACAACTGTTATCTATAAACCAGGCGCATGCAATTAAATGGCCACATCCATGCTTTAAACACTGTTCACAATGTTCAGCCCATTACTATATATATTTCCACACACTAATAGTGCCTTGAAAACTGTTGAAGTGTACCTGCTAGCTGCTGGTCACTGGTAGCTCCACGAGACAGGTGGGGGTTCTCTGTTAGGTAGTCTTGGATGTGTCTGATGTTCTCTATACAGGACTGGCAAGCAGAGAGAAGCTTAACCTGTGGGAAGGTGGGATCTTATGTTAGACAAATTACAAAATTCTGCAAAATAAACAATTCCATGTGCATATACAATTTTGTCTTCAGAAAATGCACCCAAGGCAAGAGTGTAGAAACATACTCAACATCACATCCTTATTGAAGGACTATTCAAAAGTCCATCTTAACATTGTAAAAAAGAAGCTTACATAGTCATGGTATGTGTCCTGAACATCTGGTCCCATAGTGATGTCACAGTTCACCATGGCCTCTGTACTGCCAAGTTTGTCATGAGCACTCTCCAGTAACCTGGAGAGGTTTAGCAACTGCTGCTCCATGTGTTTATGCCTGGCTTCACCTGTAGAAATGTTCACAACTGCATCAATGTATATATGATACTGTAAACAGTAACAAGGATGTCCCACACACTACTTACTCAGACACCCTACCTGTGGTGAGAGAAGGGAGAGACAGAAAGTTTGCCTGGTCCTGTAGTGCATCTGTACACAGAGGTGGACTGATTTATGTCAAGTATCTGACTGTTAAAATGTACAGCATTAACTTAAGATAAGGCCACACCAAGTAAATTTTATGGATGACGTCCTTTGGAGACCCTAAATCTAATGCGAGAGGGCGAAAAAAAACAAGAAGGGCCCTAAAAAACAAGATGCCTAGATCAGAAATATACTAAGAGACGACAAATGTTAGGACACAAATTGAATGAGGTGACACAGTGTAACAAGCAAGAAGTCTTTTACTCATCATCAAAACAGCAATAAATCAGATGGAACAGCAGTTATCGTCCTGTCCTGTTTTTGCGTTCCGGTTTTCATGTCAATCTGACGATTTGCGGCACTGTCGTGACTCTTTGGTCATAGTTACAGGAAGCGGAATTCCTTGTTTTTTTTTCTAGGAACAGGACAAAATCAATGCGCGCGCGGACGTCATCCATAAAATTTACTTGGTGTGGCCTAATCAAAATAAAACAACAGAACGTAACAAAAGATTAGTAAACAAGGACAAAATGTTAGTTGGTAGCAGACAAAACATAGGAACTATTCCAAAGTGCAAAAACAGAATTTGCCCCTATGAGGCAAAAATAAATTCTGCAACATGCATTACCTGAACCATGCATCTTCACACCAAAATTATAGTCATGCAGTGAAATTACATAAATCTGTGGTGACAATTACAAAGGAGAATGTTCCCTCTCAACTGCACCAGATAACATGGCCATTGACATTGCCTTCTATATTTTTAGCAATCCTACATTTCTCAATACGTCAATGAGAAATATTGAGAAATATTTGCATGTGTCCATAGAAAGACAGAGGATGACATGAAGTGCAGCCAAAGTGGTGTTATTTTGTACAGTTGAGAAGGAACAGTACAGAGGTGCCCCCCATCAGCCCACCCTTGTGCCACACTACCTTCTCTAACAGACTCATGTAAGCCATTCTCAACAGCATGACTGGCTGGGAGGGAGTTGTCAGCGGAGCCACTGGGCATCTTCTCCAGGCCATACATGTCCCAGTCCAGGGACTCCACACTGGCAGGGGTGCCCCGGCCAGAGGACCTGTTAGCTCGGGGTGTCCCCGGCCCTGGGATAGGTACGCAAGGATCAATGCTGCCATCTAGACTCACGTTATCATGGCTGGGGTGACTAGGATTACTACCGGTAACTCATGTCAGCAACAGTAAAATCACAGATACAACAACACAGGGCACAACAGGAGAAGTTACAAGTCACAAAAATATCCTTACACCAACCACAGCATATTAACAGTAATTTTTTCTTTGATTTCCCAAGGATGATAGACAAAGGATTACATGTATTCTCACTTCACTTGCTGCAAAAATATTTGTGTTCACTCTACAAAAGCATGATTTTGACAATGATGAGTAGAATCTCATAGTGATGTCTGGAGAGGCAGACCTCAAATGAAGTTTGTTCAGCATGATAATATTTACAAGCACAAAGAGAGAATGACTCAATGTCATCAGTCAAGTACTCAATGTCACCAGTCAAGTACAACAGCTTTCACTGTCAAGTTAGTGTTTAATGGTGTATCAGAATCTTAAATTTTTTGTTTTTCCTGTGGATTTAAAACATAGAAAGTCGAATGCATTGCCATCCTTGCTGCATAATTATTTCAATACTGATAAATGTCAAAGCCAGCAGGAGGCTATGTCTGCAATGATGGATTTCAGCTCAAAATACCAGCACATCACAGACACAAACATGTAACACATGTGGTTTATGTGGCTAGTAAAATAGAGTAGTGCTCTTGACATCTATAAATCCAGTGGCATGTCCACAACAACACTTTTCTACCACTACATTCTATATACACATCACCGAATATGGCCATTGGGTAAATCAAGTAGCAAATATAGCATTCAACATTTGGAGACCAGTCAGGATGGCGACTCTGAGCAGAAACATGAGACGGGAGTGAAAAGGCCAACTGTGCCTTCTTAGATGACAATTGCACCCTGATGTCCCCTACACATACCTTTAATGTCTAATGAAGTGCCCATGTGCAGAGCTTCTATATGGTTACCTGAATGAGGTGTTAGTCTTTCTGAAGGAATCCCACTTTCTAATTTGTAGGTTTCCAGCCCACCGGAGGCTTCAATTTCTTCCATCTCAATGTCTGGGTACTCGGCCTGAAAGGTAAGGTGATAGTGTAAACGGAGACACCAGTAACCCTGAACTTGTCCTTTGACACACATTCCTGCCAAATCGGATGACCTTGGGTGATTCACATGGTACGTGTTTGATATGTGACCAGCTCATTTCTGAAATATGAGAAGTATTTATATAGTTATAAGACCACCCTCATATCTTGACCACAAGCTGGTCGCATACAAATCTACTATAGCCTAATCAGCTATCTGTTGATACATGACCTGACCCAACCTCTCCAACCCCATAGTTAATAAGGTGGTTGGTGATAACCTATACTCATCCCTGTAAACAATACTATTAATGCACAATATTCTCACTTTTTGCTTGGATATACGAGAAATTAAAGATAGCTGCAGTTTTTGCTTGGATACATGAGAAATTAGAGATAGCTGCAATTAACACATATTCCTGTGCTGGATATGGAAAACTGCCTAATATCGACATGAATTACGTGACCATTTTTTAGGAACTACAGAAAAGCTGAATGCATGTGATGTATCATATTTTCCATAACTTTCTGTCTTTCCATATCGTACTAGCCTTGTTTGCTTGACATCAGCTGTTTTCTCACATACATAACCTTTATGTTGTCACATTGATAGAATCCTATACCACAGATAAGGGAAAGCCAAAAATACCTTTTCCTAACAACCCATATGTGTTTCACCTTTTAGACTATTATCATAGAAGTGACTTCCCAATGATCAGGGATTACTGCATGAAGAGAAGTATGAACTATGAAGTATGATATCTACATGTACATGTAGGGAAGATGGAACATGATACACAGAATCATTGTCAACTTGCATTAATGATGACACTGGAGATTGTGGTGAGTGACATGAGGGAATGTGGTGAATGGTTGGAGTAGACTTCATTCACATTTGATTCACAAAATTTTATCTTATGTATAAGGAAACCACTTTGAACAAAGCAGTGCACAAAATAATTGAAATGTCTAACATGGTTCTAGTACAGGGTCATGGTGTAGGCTAATTTTCAGATGATTAAACATTGTTACCTTGAGTTTGGTGAGCCTGGTGTGGTACTTGTACACCCTGTTGAAGACCTCCCCACAGAACCTGTGGAAGTCGTCCAGTTCGTCCTGAATGACCACAGCATCCTCCCCCTCACACTTCTGCATCAGGTGCAGACCCAGGGTGTCCAGGTACTCCAGCTTACTGGACAGGAGGTCAATCTCCTGCTGGAATGCCTGGGATGGAAGGACATGTACACTGGATGTTAGACTTCACATTTAAATCACACAAGCTCTAGATATTGATGGAAGGAAGACTGGTTAAGTCTACACAAATCATTTCATTCATCTACATGTACATGGGCATGTACACAGCAGCTGATAAAATACTAACAAAGCTGCTTCTCTATCAGAAGCTACTTATGTTTTAGAGTGGACCTGTTGTTAAGGTTTCTGTCAGGCTGACATGAAATGATGATATTAACCTTCATCTGTTTGATTTTGGCTGCCACATCACAGTCGGAGAAGTGCTCCATGTTGGTGAGCTGTAGGTCCATCTCTGTCAGCCACACCAGCAGGCTTTCCCGAGTAGTCTCAAACTCCTCCCGCAGACCAAGGGCATGCTTCAACCTGTTAGTGTCACATGTTACAGGAATACATTAAACTGGAGACTTTGTTTCTTCAGTGAGCAAGCTAAAAATTGTAACATAACAACACTGCTCTCACTGAGGTGGCTGAAGCAATTTTTCTGAAATACTATGTCTGAAATGGCTGCAAATATGACTATCAACAATACATGTGAACAGGCATCTGTTGGCCTGTCCAATGGGCTGAAAAATGGTCAGTCTTACCAATCAATTTTCAACTTGTACTACATGATTTATCTGGACTAAGCTTTGAACACTACAGAATCCAAGGGAAGCAATTATAGTGGTATAAGAGGAAATAAAGCGGACCTTCTGAGGATACAGTTGACTCTCTTGGACAGAGTGTCCCATCTGTGGTTGGCATCGTGTACCATGCCCTTCAGCTTGTTGGATGTGTCTGTTCTACTCTCCCTGGCTAACCGCCTGTACTGCTTGTTCAGAAGTTCCAGTTGAGTCAGGCCCTCATGGATTTTCCTTTGGAATGCCTGAAGAATAGATAACAAGTTTACAGATCCGATCCTTCTCTACTACAATTTAAAAGACATAAAATAAGGAAGCCTTACTGACTTAATGACAAATTGGTCGTTGGTGGCCATTTCCGAGGCTGCTTGTTCAAATGAGGACATCTCCATGAACTCTGTGGTACTTAATGTTATGTTATTTACTTCATATTTCTTGACCTCCTCCTTCATGACTGTATAGGTGACATGTCCAGAGTTGGGATAGGCTGCAGTCCTCTCGCTCTCCTGAAGCCAGTGTTCAAACCTCTGGTAGTCTTCCTGGAACTTTTGCCAGAGCCTCCAGGTCTCCTCAATTCTAAACAAACAGGGCACAGTTGTATTAACTTAACACAAGGAGTAAACAAATACATACTAAAGAATGGCATACAACACACAGAGCCTCATTTCCAATACTTTTTGACAAGTTCCCACCTGAGTCTTCTCTCCATGGACAGAGCACAGATGTTTCTCCACCGCCTGTCCAGTGTGCGTGTGGCAAGCTGGATGGACTCACACTCAGCATCCGTGGCACAGGCATCACAGTCATGCAGGAGCACCTCACATAGGTTCAACACAGAGGCAACACCTGTGCTATGTTTCTCTATGTCCTTCTGAAGCTCCTGATTCACCAAACAACATGTGAAGAACTTGGTAAGTACATGGCCATCACAAAAATAAAGGAGGAACACAAAGAAGCCTGCTATGACTACACATTCACCTTCAGTGAAGAAGCCCTTGGGCATACCACTAATAGATTTTCAGAATAAAGTCTCACAAGTCTCTTACATCTTAGGAGTTACCAATACACGTTCTTCAACTCTTAGTTTTAAAGAAAAATACCAGTTAGTGTTGAAACAGCCATTCATACCTGTTGTTCCTGAAGTTTCCTCTGTATCTCTGTGGCATCACAGCTCTCATACACGACAGGATGGGACAACACTTGCTCGATCTCTGACAACCAGCTCCGAAGGCTGTTCATGTTGTTTTCCAACTGCTGGACAGCTGTCAAAGTTTCTTTCAGCTTTTTGATTCTACAAGGAAAATGGTACAACAGAAACAGAATTGATTTAGAACCATGGACATTTTTCTACACTCACTGTTGCACAACATCACTTAAGCCTTCAAAAACTTTCTTCTCTTAGCTTTACAACCATGTAGCCCTAAATTTGTCACCTGCAGGGATCTGGGCTTGTCCACTCCTTTTGCAGGTACTTAGGGACACTGGCACAACATGATAATTAAGACTAAGCTGCATCATGCTTGAATCATATGGTTAAAACTTAATTCCTTTATGGCAGAAATAGAGGGAAAAAAGGCAGAAATTGATATAATTATAGTTGTCTGAATAAATAGATCCCATGAGCAAAAGTTTACAATAAGAAGGGACCCTGTTTCAGCTTGGTTAGAATAACCCTAATTCTCAGTTGGATGTTCCCTTGCGGAGGAGGTAGGATGTTTTTCCTGTCCAACTGGATTTTCAGCATGTTTTGTCCCACTTACCCACTTAAGCCAAACCAGTGAGCAAAACAATAAGAATAGGAAATGGTACAGTGCATGGGTACAAGTAACATCAATGGAGAAAAATGATTTATGTTTGTGGCCAAAAGGGTGTAACATCTTAATGAAACAATGAATAGAAAATGAGGTCTACCTGACCTCTAATCTAAAAACAAAACATTGACTCTAAATATGTATGCAGGGCATGGTGTGTCTAGCTTTGAAATGTTTCTTTTTGAAAAATATATTAAGCATGTGTTGGAAGTATAGAGGTGATGACACTATAAGTAATAACCATGTCTGAACTTGACTGCACATATGACACCATAATAACATGCAAAGGACTCAACAAAATCTACTCTAAAAGACCCCAACCACAAGCCTGCATGGTCAGGTACAGAACTTTAATAATGCAAACCAAGATGACTGCACTATGTGTACAGGCTAGTTCTTGTGGTCGCTGACCTTTTTGTGCAATACAGGCTTGTACATGTAATACCATGTAAAACTTTATGCTTCACAACTGCCTGGGGGACTTAGATTTTGATTAATAAATAATTACAGTTTAACTGACTGGACAAACTGGATGAATAATTCAGGAGGACCAAATGTCATCCACAGTAAGAGAAATTAATTTCCCCCTGCTGGTTGCCGGGGAGACAGGGAGTAGATGGCCAGGTATCAGTAAGCTGCCATGCATTGATGATGGATGCCCCTCCGCTGCAGCATTGGTCAGGGGAGGGATTAGGGTCCCACCGATCCCCTGGGTACTGACCATTCAGGACAAATGAATGTGCAAATTGATAATTCCACACCAATTTGGCCCTCATCCATCATCTACAAATGTAGCTGGGAGGGACAAGGCAGGGGAGGGGGATGACACACCTCTATTTGGTAGGTTATGAGATTGCAGAGAAAGTTAACTTTTTTATGAACCACTGAATTAAATGTCCCTCTACGTAGGGATATTCTAGTTGCAAAAAAATCAATAGTCTTGAAATTCTAGTTAATGATGGCAAACGCAACAACCCTAAGAAGTTTTTTTAATCTGTGAGTGGGTGGTTGTCAGCTCCAATATGACAGATCAACACTGACTGGAAAGCCACAGGCAGGTCAGGGGGTAGGCAGCACATCTATGATTCTGGACTATTTTTTGTGTCATGAATAATGCAAGATGTTGAAAGGGGATAAACTCTGCAAATATTGGAACAGACACCACATCTATGCAATATTTCTGTACAGGAAGACTGCTCTCTGATGTAACACTAAACTTCTGTACTGATGGATTATTTCCCTTTAATGGACATCTGGCAATCATGAATTATTTAGGTGCATTTTAGAGGTATTTTTAGAACTTATTCCAAAGTTGATAAAATGTATCTGTGTTTGAGTGTTAAAGAAATGGGATAATGACTGTATCGTACTGACTACATGACCATATCAACCAACAGGACTAAACAAGTGCATGTTCGTGGTCCACAGATTTAAAAGAGGTAGACATTATGACATGAAAGCTGGGGACAGATGCAAATTAATAAATGGTTGTGATCTAGAGCTCTGTATCATGGCAGCATACAGTCTTTAAAAGTGTCAAATTCAAAAAGTTTATTCAGAAGAATATTTGGGACTGTCTGGATTCGAGTTGATACCTGAAATCTACACAGTTATAGTAACTGTCATGTTTTGATAAACATGGCCTTTTCTTGAGATTATAAATTCAATATGCTGTTGCTCATCATACTTTTCATACCTCTGCCATAATGACATTTGTTTTGTTTTGACATTTGAACAAATTTGCAACTTCATTGTACATGTACATGTACTCTTTCTACATGTTAAAAAACACAGTGTGAACAATGTGCTGACCTCGCCTTGCAAAATATCTGTTAAAAAATATCTCTACCCTTCTTTATCCTGATTGATAGGCAGCATGAACTTTGGGAACAAAATGCTAATAGACACATGACTGAATAACAAGAATTACACCATTAATCCAAATTCATTACAGGCAATTACACTAAATCTCTGATAACAACTCAATTACAGCACTAGCTGCCGTCACTATATAAATCAACCCTTACCCAGCAAACCTGCAAAGTGTAATCCCTCATTTAGTTCATGATAATACAGCAACTACACCAACAATACACATCTTTAATGCCTGTCACATAAATGTGTATTCACCAATTTACACACTGTAACTAATGAAGAAAGCTGTGAAGTACAATAGTAGGAATAATTGGGCCAATCATTTGACTACAAGGGGGTAATTTATGGGCCAATAAAACTTCACAAATTGTCTTGACAGGTTTTATTAAATGAAAACTTTTAATTCCAATGAACATAAATTCTATGTTTTAATTTGAATGGAAAATCAAGCTTGCAGGAATTGACCTATTTGAGCAGGAGGTTTATCTTTGGCATTCATATCTGATGCAGGTGGGAAGGAACAATCTGGGAGATTTATGATGAGAGCACATCCCATTTTCTTTTCCATGGTGGAATAAAGGGCTTTCCATGGGGGATGGAGACCACATTAATCTGGCCACCTCTCATGTGTGACTCGGCTGTCATGCCCAAAGCAGGCAGGATTTACCATGTGTCACAGATCCAACCTCTTCTGAATTGGATCCAAGAATGTGATGATGAGCTGGACAAAATCATCCAGGCCTTTTTTTTTAATTTTAGGCCTCTTTGATAGACTTATGAGCATGATAACGTAGGGAAAAAACTTCAATACTGTTTCAGCTTGCTATACAGAGAAACAAATTAATTTAGATCTATGTGTTTTGAGAATTCTATATGAAACATTCTTGGAGGGGAAGTTATGTACTCAACATTAGGTGTACATGTATCAAAGATAAAGCTGTGAAAATCATGATACAGGATGATGACTTCCTCGTTCACACTTTGTTAAAAGATATCAATATGATCAGCAGTAATGTTATAATCAAATACTGTACTGGATACTACATCAATGTTCCATCTTCTACAGTTAGGCATACATAACTTCACGTTGAAGCAAAGTAAGCTAAAAGCTCCCCCTTGCGAGTGGATCATAAATGCAGCTTAACTGACACCACAGGCCTGATACATTTACTCAATTAGAAATTCTACAACATGTGTGTACTTTGTTAGCTAATCATAGACTGTTTGACCATGCTAACTTCTTGAAGCACTAAGGAAAATGACAACCACTTTGCTTTGTTGTAACTGGTGGATCAAACATGCAGCTCTTATGTTGAGTAATGGGATGAAGCTAAAATAGTTCTTGTGATGTCATGTTTATTAATAACAGGTCTGAAATGGTAAACCTAAAAGTACCAGGAGAGGTGTTATCTGAGACTAACAACTATCTATCACATCACAGTTTCTCATCAATCACACATTTGGGCTTAAAAAAAGATGTAGAGTGATGACTGGTGCAAAAGTCAAGGCCAATAACATCACCAATCTTACATAATACTGTTTGAATATGGTATTAAGGATATTGGTTGGCACAAAGAACATTGGAAAAGTCTCCAATGTCAATTTTTTTGTTTCTTTTTCTACCCATCAATCCATCTATCCTTTCTCCCTTCCCTACAAATACAGGTAAACTGGCTGAAGTTGTTCTGACTTGTTCCACTCACCTGGCACACTTCAGGTCTGTAAGGTGCTGCCACCTGTCCTGCATCTTGGCCAGTTTGTACTCAATCTCGGTGGCACGTGCCTCATTCCCAGCCTTGAGCAGCTGCTGTCCCATGTCTGCCAGGACCCTCCTCCTGTCATCGGCATTGCTCATCTCCTCCTGGTACTCCTGATGCATAGGAGAGAAGGAGTTCAAACATTTACATGTTCTGAGTTTGTGGCCAAGTCATATCAAAGTGGAATTGGCTTATTCTCCATAACAAAGCTTGGGAGATATGATCACATGTGGGAAGTGTGCTTGTGAGATAAGAATGTTGAGCACATTTGCTGATAACAAGGACTTGAGTGCCCAGTTGAAAGTGCTAAAGGGTTTACAAACATTCAATATACAGTCCCATGCTGGCATGTTTCTTTCACAAGAAAAACTTCATAAGATGTTAAAAATAACATCACTAAAAAGTCCATCAGCTGCCTGTGCTGAGATTTGAGTAAAAACTTTTCATCATTACGGCATTAGTGGTTATCAAAGGACATGCAGACATCAGGACTACTCCCATTAAGTGTGCGACAGACTCTGTCAGGGGAAATTGATATCGTCGTAGCTGACTCCATTCAAGTATGATATTGAAAAATTGTCATAAATGTCAGCCTAATTCAACAGTGCAGCTAGTTTATCAACGTCTAGGACTAAAATGAATTCATTACCAAGTGTTAATGACGTTGAAAAAAGTTAGAGTCCTTCACAGGCCCACAGTTAATGGCATTACAATGGGGTCTGCACTTTGCATGTACCGGGTATTGCCTACATTCAAACTGAAGTCAAGGGGCCTTTAGGGATTATGAAAAGAAAAACTTCCACCGATTGCTTCAAGTTTCCTGATCAGATCCCTGCCATATAAAGATGAAGCTTTATGACTTAAAGATGACATTTGCACTGACAGTTCATCCACCCCACGTTTCATACATCCCCCACACAGATGTCTCCCACAAATTGCTTTGCCAACAAATTTCACGGTTCAGGGGCCATGTGTTTGAATTAGAGCCAACTTTGCTACACAGAGGCACTCATATGTGCTACTGTGATCTGCTGCCATTTCCCATGTATCTGCATCCTCCACGCCCGGATACACCTGGTTGGCCAGAACATCTGCAGAACTGGTGGACAGTGGACAGGTAATCAATGAGGGGAAAATCATCAGAGGTCAAACACTCCTCTCAATTTTGACAAAATGTCATTGTGTTGATTATCTTTCAGTTATCTAGGGATTAGATGTGTCCTCCCATGTCCCTTAACTTGTACATATTCATAAGGGTCTGAGCACAGCTTCTCTGACCTGTAGCTGATATGATTAGGTGGCCTTCATGTTATTAATGTAGGGCTTTTCCAGATATATTTTTCAATTATTTCCAGAGCATGGCATTATTAAGTGCAATTGGAATACGGAAGTTGGTGCTATCACTCATGTGTTGGCAGCAGTGATTTGGGGGGAGGACAGGGCTTTCTAAATTTGTCAGATATAAATTCTGGAATAAAAGTGGTTTACGTCTCCTTGTGGTGCAACTTTGACACAAGATTAGACGTTCTTTAGGTCTTAACGGGATGTACAAATAATTTGGTAGGATTAAAACTTTTATGGGTTCTCAGACACTCTGTAATCCTCTACTCCATGGAGCTTACTGTGGACAAAAGAAAAGTATCAATAATCCCATAGATGTGTCATTCTAGCCTCTGCTAACAAATCAGGCATGACCAACACACTTCACCAACCTTGAAAATCTCACAAGGAGAAACCAATTTCACCAATTTTGGGATTACGTTGATTTCAAAGAAGCTCAGATGGAGGTAATTTCTCAAAGTACGTCGACAGGCAGGAAAAGCCTTCTTTGTGATTGATGTTTTACTTATTTATAGTTAATGTCTAATGATTAATGGCTGACCAACAACCTGCTAACTAAAAAGCCTTTTCTTCTTCCTCAACATGAAACCCAAATAAAAGTCATTTCCCATCTAGTTTGACAGCATTTCTCCAAAGTATGCGGCCCATGGTTGAACCTACAGGCAATCATGTGTGATAAATGTAACACTAGGCCAGTCGCATTGAGATAAAATAGAAATTACAAATCCAGGGGGAGGCATAACAAAACATCAAGCACCAGAGATTATTTTCACCTGGGGGAACGCGTTTGTGACATCGTCAGTCACGGTGGGAAGAAAACTAGCTGTTTTGCATGAACGCTAATGGTATCTCTCCACATCCCCTCCCCTGCAGGTGCCATAAAGGCATCGTAAACAGATGGCGCCCAGGCTGAGACTGAACGATGATGTACGGAACATTTAACACATTTGCAAGAAATATAGGGTGTAACAAACAAGCGGGGGAGACCAGGAAATGAATTCTGAGGGCAGGATTAAGAACCTGGGCGGAAAGTTTGGCCAAGTGTGGCGTGACTCATGGATCGCATTTGTTCCAAGAGCAACTGATACTACTTATCAGTCTGCAGGGGAAAGAGAAATATTGGGGGCTTAGAGCTCCGAGAGGTTAAAGACAAGCAAACATAACTCAAGCCTAATGCCTTGCATATTCTGTATGGTACAATTCTGAGGTTGATTAGACATGCTGGTGGAAAGCAGTTAGCTGTGGCTGTTGTAGACTTCTTTTCCAAGAGGCCAATGAACAATGAACAAAAAACTTTAAGTTACAATTCACTTCAAAACACTGTTAACATTACTGATCTGCATGAAGATCAGGATACTGTCTTCAATTACCAAAACAGAAAATGAAACAATGGTTGCTCAGAGGACGAAAGATGAAATCTAATCCATGATCAACTACTACCATCATATTACTAGTAAGTCTTCCAAACAAAAGCAAGACATCATAACTACCTTCTGCAAGTTCTCCAGTAGGTCTTCAATGCTGACTTCAGGATTGTGTGTGATTTTCACCTCCATCTCTGTTAGCCAATCGGAAAGCTCTTTATATCTGAAAAAACAAAATGTTACTGTTAGGCATACAAAAGTTTTGAAATTTAACAAACTAAACAAAAAACCTTAAGGCTATTTCATAGAAAGAGTATAAGTATTAAGTGTTAAAGTGGCAAACAGATTCCAGAATGATCTTAATCCTGTTACCTGTCACTGAAGCTGGACCACTCGTTAAGTTTGTCTGTGACCTTCTGCCTGCGCAGCGTGGTCTGGAGGTGGATCTCGTCCCACTGCTTGCGGAGGAAGCGTACTCTCTCCTGCAGCAGACTCAGGTCCTCAGGGCTGATGCTGCCTGCCAGCTGCTGCTCCTTACCGTGGATGTTGGTCAGCTTATTCTCTGTCATCTGGAAGGCTGTTTCATACTCCTGCAACCAAACAAACACGGAATATTACAAACTATTAATGCCTTGACCAAAAATAATGACTTGATATGATGTTGTGACAGAACATTTACAAAGAACATAATCTTCCTTATCTATGAATAGCAGTCTAAAACACTTAAACATTGTATTCTATTCTCAATACCAGGTACAAATTACACTGTAGATCCTAGATTTCCATGAAGGCAATTTTTCTACCACAGTGTCTCATTCAGATCAGAAAGCAATAGCAATAATGTCTATAGTTAAATGTAGATAACATAGTGCCCAAACTGTTCTTCAAATGAAATGACTTGTTCAATGATATGTTGCTGATGCCTCAAACAAAAGTTGTACATGAAACAAATTGTGTTACCAAACAGAATTTTGGTAACTTAGAAAACAGAATCTGGAAAGTTCCGTTGTTTGTGTGTGTTTGATTGATGTCCTTCAAAAGATAATGTAGTGAAGCAGTAGTCCATAAAGTTGTTTCCTAACAATCCATGTCATCAACAATTCTGACATGATTGAATTGCCTGTTACACCCACGCTCTGTTGTTGGATAGCTCCCAGTTTGCAAGTTTTCCTCCCAACCTCTAATTACAACATCATTAATCACTGCATGCATAACGAGCAACAGGTCCTCATTAATCCGCTTCAGCAAACACTTTTTATTAAGTTTAGATTGGTGGGTCGGGAATATGATATGGCAGTGTCCACGGAAGGTCACCTCGGAAATGTCATCCCAAATTAAAGTGGGACGGTTGAATCCGGGTGGTGACCAGAGCCACCTGGTGCCACGACGAGCAAGATTGATGTCAGATTCATTGACCTCTGTGGATTAAAACTTGCACAATCAGCGCTGGTCTTGAATATGGATGAAGCGTAAATGAGGAAACTTTCCAGCGATCAAGGCCGACGTGTAGGCTTCACGCCCGGCTGGCTCGGCAGCAACAATCTGCCACTGAGCTGTTGCACAAATTACCTTTAGATTGGTGTCAGCTTCATTAACTCAATGACCCCTTCGACATTCAAAGTTTTTGATGATTATACAATATGGACCACCATCATAAATGCAGATATAGTTTTGCACAATACTCATGATTTGTAGCACGTTTCCTATAAATAGAATATATGGCCTGGATTTGTGTCATCAAACTATACATGTACATCTACATTAATGTATTTATTGTACCATGAATTGACAAGTTTGGGAGCAACTCTGACACCCCAAAAAAATGCATAAAGTCCTCTGCATTGCATCATTGTGGTAGGCATTTTGTAACAACCACCTGAGCAGAATCACAGTGCCCCCTACCACTTCAAGCCATTATTACAGCTCAATTCCATCAATCTAGGGCCAGTAGGGAGATATACATGCATACTAGTTTTATTAATGCACATAAGTTTGCTTAAAAACTACATTCTTAGGATTTATGTTATGGTGTACCATCTGCATTTTCTCACCATATTTGATCTTGCATTCTGAATCTGAATTGTGTAAATTGTAACAAACCATTTGTGTAATTGAAGTTGGTAAATCTGTACAAGGTGTATTATGATAGATATTGGTCAACTCACAACAGGGCAAATGTTTTAAAGTGCCCCTTTACACACTTGAGGTGTGAGTTTCCTCAAACACAGGAGGGAATGCTGGGAAGTGATGATATAGTGCCCACCTTGCAGATATGCATCTCTCTCTGAAGCTCATCATGATTGGATGGCACATCTTGAGTCAGGAGTCGTTTGATGTCTCTCAGCCAGGCCAGGCACCCCTCAATGTCATCCTCACAGTCACTCCAGGACTAGAGGTGGGGTGGGACAAAAGATAGTGAGTCAGTCATTTAGTAAGTAAGAGGCAATGTCATAATGGAATATTCAGAGTGTATCATACATGTACAGGAGGGGTTTACAGTGATTCCTACAAAGATACAGTAAACAAATTCTAGGACAACTCTTGACATTTAAGTACTTTTGTTACAAACAGTCATAGAAATAAAATGCCTGAGTGTTTAATATGCAATAGTCATGTAGTCAGGCACACAAAAATTTATGTTGAATACACAGTACTACCACTTGCTTCTTTATAGCTTTACAACTACACTACTGTACTGATGATATATTTTTCTCAGTTTTACCTGAAGTAATGACTCCAGTTGATGTCTTTTGTGCTCCAAAGAACCACTTATGTCATTCCACTCCTTCTGAATATCAGTCAGCTCCCTTTCAAGAGCCCCCTCTACCTGTTTATCTGAGACCTGCATCAGTTCTACAGCTGTCTCCACCAGGGAGTTGTAGGTTGGCTCCTGAGCTGTAACCTTCTTGAGGGATGCCTGAAGTTGATAACAATATAATTAATAATAGTTTTTGATTAACACTGAGACAAAAAAAAGACTGTACCAGTTGAAATGTTCCAATGACTATGATATGAGAGGGGAAATAAATGACATTCTTTTGATGGTTGCCTACCAAAGACCTTGTTTAGTCATAACATTGACAAGATTACACAAGACCTCTCCATGAACAACAGCTAAATGCTGTAAATAATAAGGCCAGAAACAGTTGCAATAACCAATAACTTCAGATTGCACTAATCTCCCACCTCGACGTCCTCCAACATGGCCCTGACTCTCTCCAGGGACAGTGAAGTGAACTCATACTGTACAATCTCATGTTTCATCTCCACCATCCAGGGCAGGACCTTGGTCCTCAGGGACCTACAGGGACAAAGATAATTGTTAACATTGCAGCTGTCAGATCAGTTAAGGTGGCTATCTTGAAAATATCCTGGCATGTGTTACTCGTATCTTTTGTTACCCAAATTTTAATATGACAATACAAGTATTGTGCAATATTAAAAACTTTGTCCACAAGAATGTGATATGAATGATAAAGCTTCCTTTTATTTCTAATGAAGAACAATAGGGTTTACTTGGTTTCAGATGGCTGGAAATATGTACTAACTTGTAGAGCTGCCACTGCTGTATGCGGTGGTCGATGACCTGCTTCCTCTCATTAGACCTCCTGAGAACGTTCTGCCATTGGTCCCTCAGCAGGGTGAGGCGCTGCTGCAGGTCCTCCTCAGGGTCCTCCAGGACCTCCTCCGCCATGATACGCTGGCCGTCTGACACGATGGAGTGGAGAATCTGCTGACGGCTGAACAGATCCGCTTGGAAAATCTACAAAAGTGGAATGAAAATACATCACTTAATCATGCTGGATCACTGAAAAGGGTATAGTGGATATGCAATAAACATGTCTACATGTACTTTACAGGTTATTCAACAGCATATAAAGAGAGGTACTTCAATGCACATTGTAGTGTTTCTGACCTCATAAGCCTTTTGCTGCTCTAACAGGCCTTCATAGTTGCCAGCAATGTCTACAGCCAGGTCCTTCTCTGTCTGGGCCAGGAACAGCATCCATGTCTCACACTTCTGGGCAAAGTTCTGCTTATCCAGCATGATACCTGGAAATGGAAGGACAACAAATAAACATGATTTCATGATGTCATGTTCTAAGACTATGCTGGTGTTTAAATTTTATGTTTTATTTGTGCCCCATGGCCCCACTGCAAAGCAGTGGTCATGTCACTCAGCTAGGCTACCCCGGATGAAGATGACAGAAAATAAAAAAAAACGAAACCAAGGGTCAAGTAACTACCTTGTTTCATTTACTTATCATATCAAGTAATTGCTTTTTCCTTACCCTGCATGGTCCTGTACTTGTTTGACATGAGTGTGGACATGTTGTACCAGCGCTGGTTCAGATCTCGCAGCTTGTTTGCCTCCTCCTCCCCCAGAGCAAGTCTGTACCCAAGGCTGTTCAGATCCTCCAGCTGCCCAGAGTAGTTGTTGAACTTCAGCATCTGGGTCTACAGGGGGCAGGTATAGAGGTATGAAACATTTACCTTGAAAGTATAATACTGGAATGTTCCTATCATACATATATTATGTTGTCTAAGAAGAGATTGATAGTCTGTATGACTGTAATTACTTCACATGCCTTAAGGCTCTGTAAGAGCAACCAAAACATTCTTACTATCTTGAGCCCTTACTATCTTGTGATATGTCACAAGATTAACTTGTACCTGCGATGGCGATTTTCTGTGTAATGATAGCACCATCTGTACAGGTACAGTAGTTCAAACATATAAATCTATAAATTAGGTCATACTACTTCATAATAGCACTAGAGAACCAGTATGACCTACTATCAATGTTTTGCCAAATCCTCTTCACAATGTAAAATATCATGCCCCAGTGCTTTCTGCACAATTTACATGCATATCATTAAAGAAGACAATTGACAAACCAGTACCTGTCAAAACAATACTTCATCATTACCTGTACTGAGATTAACCACCATTGTCGAAGATGCTGCCACCATGTTTTGTTTAATCATCAGACCCATTACATGCTTAAGACATTAGTTGGAGGTTTTCTGATGATCTCCTCCTCCAAGAGATACTCCTCAACATGATACATGTACCTTACATGACAACATGATAAGCATATATCTACAATTAAAATTCTAATGAAACTAATATTTCCACTTACATGTAGTGATGAAAAGACCTAAAGTGACCAACCATATAATTTTGCAGGGTCGAGATTGTACCGTAGGTTGTGCAACCAAGGAGATTTTTCTAGGGTGGGCATTCAACGTTTATACCCCTTGGGGACACTTAGTACACACTTTCTTTAAAATCATACACAAGTCCATGTTAACAAAAAAACTGTTGCCTGGGAAAGTTTATCAATGTCACTCCAAGCTAGCATGCATGTGGCGGATGATGACAGGTCATTCACACCCCTTGATGACAGTTATAACCTGGAGGATTGGGTCAGCCCTCTCCCCAGGGGATTACAGTGTGACACTCTGGTACTACCTGACATAAAACATAGACCACTACAAGTCTGATGTACTGTCAGATGTCATACATCATGAAACAGGACTATCAACTTTATACCCCCCGGGGTACTGGAGTTCCCTTGGTATTGTGGCCTTTGAATAATTGAAACAGGTAAGAGTTTCCATACATGTAAGTAGTGAAGAGCTAAATTATATTTTTCTTAGATATCTAAAGAGACCACAGAGTTCCCAATTTGGTCAACCCTCTTTGATGACACACCTATTTTATATGGCAACATAAAGCACATTGTCATTCTTCAGAGGGATGAATTATTGATTGTAACAGAAAAATACAGCAGGATAATTGTCCTTTTTAGTTGGCTGAATTGACAAAACCTTGAGCTGCTTAATAGCATGTAAGCTGCTTAAAAATGTAGGAGAACAGCAACAAATGCAGAAACTACTTGCAAAATATGGCTCTTATATATGGACCATTTTGAAATCTAGGACAAAACAAAATTGATGATTGCTATATTATATAATACACAAGTACAATGGCTATATTGTTTTACATTTAATTTACTGTTAGAAGCCTTGTATGGATGTCCTAAATTCAAAACATGGCACAAATCTAACCTTGATCTGGTCCATCCTGTCTCTGACAGTTGTCTCGTCAGCTGACTTGTTGGGGTCGTCTGACTGCAGCACTTCTTCTGCCTCCTGCAGCAGTTTCTGTAGGCTTTCCACCTCCCCTTCAAACCGCTGGGAGTCTGCAGCTTTAGTCTGAACAACACGATACGTGATTCGAACATGCCCGTTTCGGACACGAATAGCCATCAGGCATGGCTTAAACTTCTCCCCTACAGCACTTCACCAAAGGGCTTGTTAAAGCTGCATTGCTGGAGGTTTAGTAAACACAGAAACTCCCAAGGGGCTTTCTAAATGTCCCAGAGATTGCTGTCTTTACCTGGCTGCGTGACTGAAGAGTATAACAGCAATATTCTGTGTCTAAAGGACCCCTTATGCATTCTCAACTAATCTGGGGATCAAAATATGGCTTAGGTCATAGTTGTAGCTTGTTGCCCATAGCAACAGTGTGGCCTGCTAGGTGACAATAGGAGCCAGGTCAGGTGGAAACAAAGCCTGGTTGGCCTTCCCACCAGCTAACCGACTTGTCATAGAACACATGATTTAACTAAAGCACCGTGACATAGATATTTTGCTCATAATTCACATTGGATGATCCATTATTCTTGATACACCACAGGTCACTTGTATGAAGACAGATTTGTACTTTGATCTAAATAAAAAATAAGAACTTTTACTGTCAATAGTTTAAAATTAGTTGTGTGTGTTTTCATTTTCACAGGAATAACCAGGCATTGACTGACCTTTGCGACCTCCAGCTTCTTGATGACCTGTTGTTTGAGGGAGTCCAGTCTCTGTATCAGTGCCTTACACTGGGAGTTGAGATGTGCAGAGGCTGGGTTCTCCACATGGGCACATAGCTGTTCACACAGGCTACCCAGACCCACCAGATCTGAGCCATACTGTTCCAGCTCAGACAACAGCTCCTAACAAACAGACAAGTCATAGATTTACATGGAGGAGATGGCTCATTATAAGTCAACTTTTAACTACAAATACTGCTTTAAAATATAGTTTACGTGGTCTACAAGGTGTCAACCAACACTTACACACTATTCTTAAACAGAGATTAAGACTGTTGGAGCACATACAACTACTTCTCCATACCTCATACTCCTCCCTGAGAGACCTGTTCTCCTTTTGTTCTGTCTTGAGCAAGTCTTGGAAGGTTCTCTCCCTGACAATAACCCAGTCCTTGGCAGTGCTGTACTGGTCCTGGTACTGCTGCCACAGTTCCACAATCTGGTCATAGGCAATCAGCTGGTTCTCCATGGCCTTCAGACACTCAGTGTCTCTGTTAGAGAATTTAAGAAAAATACTGAGATACTGTACTGTGTGGAAAGTAATTTTACACTGTAGTACATGACTAGTATAATGCACCTAGTACACTTCATCACACTAACTGTTATGCAAATATTTATTAAGTGTCAGCAAAGCACTTTTTCTCTGACTCTTTGCTGTGGATGCAATGCAACAAAGTATTGGAATGTTGGAGAAAGTTCCTTGAATAATTTTTGCATGATAGGACACTTATGTGATAAACATCAACACAACCTCCTTTATCTAATCATATGGGGCTGACTTAATTATTGCCCTAAGGCAAAACAGCAAGATTAGCTACTTTAACAACTGGTGTCAGCACCTTTCGGGAGGAACAAAAGCAGTCCATTCAATAGTCTTATCCACAAATTAGACTGGTATGCAACAGGCTATGTGACAGGAGTGCACTGTCCCTGTTATTGTTAAAGAGTCGTGTTGGAGGTCTTGGAGTGTGTTTGAGTTATATTTTTTTATATTAAGATAGTAGAGAGGCTTTCTACATTTGCCATGAGAGAAAAACAAGCGTTTATTTTTGCACCTGTATATCTGAGACTTCGTTACCTCTACAGAGGATGTGCTTAGAAAACATTATCTTTGAATTCTCACCTTGCTTTCAGCTGGTCCACTTCTCGTTGCAGTCTGTCCTTAACCACAGGGTCAGACTCCTGCATCAGCTGTGCAGCCAGCTCCCCATGGACAACCAGGTTGTCCTCTTTGGCCATAAACTCCTCCTGAAGCTCCTGTAAACAAGGTAAACACAGATGCAACAAAGTACATTATGCTGAATACAGCTACATACATATAAGTACTGTGTGATTAAAGCATTTCCAGATTGGAGGGAAAATTGCCTTTCTGCAGTCAAGAGTTATTGAAAACCTATTGAAATACTGGTTATTTTCTTCTCTTATCATAGTAGTCATTGCAAAGCATAGGCACCACACATTATTCACCAAGTGCTCTACTAAAGGATGTTAAAGTCGTTTACCTTTGTGTCAGCCTATTGTGAGCAAGATGATGAGGGGAAGATATAAATAACTTAATAAAAAATGTGAGGTATTTCAAAATGCATCTTAAAATGCAGTGAGCACAGGTACGCTGACTACAACCATGCAGGAAAGTTCCAGATATAGAGAAGATATAGAGTGACAGTCTTTCTTACCTTGAGTTCCTCAGCTTTCTTCTTGAGGGTCTCCAGATCCCCAAAGCCTGGCTTGAAGCGCCCCAGTGTATACTCTGTGCTGCCCAGGTGCTGGGTGATGGTCTGCTGCACCTGGTAGTACTGTTTCCACTGGTCAGCCAGGGTGGACAGGGACAGCTGCAACTCTGACACCTGCCCAGGACAGGGATTACCACAAACATGTTTCCCAACAGACATTGATTTCGATTGCAGGTCATTTCATAAAGATCCAACTGCAACAAAGGACAGCTATGTCTCCTGGCCTCTTTCCTACTTGCAGCAGGGGCAATGTCTAACACAAACATAATTATTGCCACTATATCTGTGTGTTCACTTGCAATTACCCTATGGGCATAAGTTTGCAAATAAAGTTTGATCTATTTACATGTATTATCCAAGACAAAAGAAATGGGGACTGATCCAACAATGGGACGTCAGTAATTATATGTTAACAGTAAACTACTTGAAATCCTGGGTAAGCAGGAAAGCAAATTGTTGTGCAGGATTTTACTGTAAAATTGTACCAAGGATATTTTAACTTTTCTGACAGATATGACTATATATTATACCTGTTGTTGTAGGTTGGTCCAACCCTGTCTGACTGCCTCCATGTCTTGCTGGATAGCTGCTGCTGCAGGGTTGTCCTTTCCCTGGACCTGCTGCTGTGCTGTCTTCACCAGCTCTGCCACTTCTGTGTTCTTCTCCTTCAGCTCACGGTCAAGGTCCTGGCAGAAACAGAAGGTTCAAGGTTCAGTCAACCATGTTTTCATTCCAAGAAAGAATTACAAGAATTGATTTTGTTTTGAGTCAGTCACCTTGTTCACGTCTACTCTGCCCCCCACGGGAACTTAGATAGGATGACATCTGGAGATGTCCTAACCTTACACTCACCTGACAGAATGCCAGTGCATGTTGGACCTCCACCTCAGAGCTCCTCTTCTGGTGACGTTTGAGCTGGGCCTCCTGTTCCTGAAGCCAGGACTTCACCTCATTCAGACGGCCCTCAAACTCCTTAGCATGACTCAACAGGGCCTGGTATCAAAGTATGTGTTAGTACAAAATCAAATCACTTATCACAAGAATGTCAGACATTTCTTTCAACTTTCAGTTTACATGGCATATTCAGTTTATAATACATGTAAGTACTCAATCATTTATTATCTACTTCTGTCAACTTACAGTTTTTATTTCTTTCTACTCAAAGAACATAATCCACAATGTAAATATTTGAGGGACAAACAGAACTACACATAATGATTATTTGTTTCACAGATTGTGTTCATTTTGTCAAAGAGCTGTAATTGCTAATCATCACAAAGTAAAATATTGACATTCCTCTTCAGTTTACCGTACTGTCTTTACACGGTAAAGGACTACACAATGTAACAGATTACACAATGTAAATTTAAGGTATTCATCATAACAAGGCATCTTCTGATCTTACTATACATGTACTTGGTGTTTCATCGTTGCAACAGAGTAACTGTTGTAAGCTCTGTGTCATTGTCAACCCTACCTCTGTCCTGTCCATCCTGGCCTGCAGGAGGTTGTTCAGTTCCTCCCATCTGGTGTTCATAGCCTCATGTTTGACCAGGAAGTCCCCGTCCTCAGGACCTTGGGAGCTCTGCATCACCGACTGGTTGATGAAGTCAACTGTCAGCTGCTTGGCTGACATGTCTATCTTGTAGCCCTGTTATTATACACAAGAAATTCTATAATATATCAAATATTAAGTTCAAACACCATTGTGCAACATATTTTCTGAAAGGTCTATACAATGTATTTCACTTTTAAACTAGACACTCTCTACAATTCCTTTCAAATTTTCCTCCAAATAGTTGCAGCTTGGTTGCTGACCTTGTATTTTTGAAGCACTGCCTGTAACTCAACCACGGCTGCCATGTCTTCCTCATGGGTGTCCTGCAGTGCTGCCTCCAGTCTGTCCATCCACAACAGTAGTTCAGCAAGGGCCTAAACATAAAACAGTAGTAACACTTAAAAGAAGGATCCAAGAACCATATTGCTTTCTTTCAAGATGAAGCTCAGAACTTAGTGGACCAGGACTTAGTGGACCAGATATAAAAAAAGTCTGATCCTGACCTGTCTGGATGGTAACATTTCCATCTGTGTCCTGTGTAGCTGCTTCTCAATGGCTGGGATTTTCCCCATCAGCTGTGTCCAGTTGGTCTCAATAATCTTCAGCCTCTCCTGCACAGTCTCTGCCTGCTGGCTCTTCAGCAGGATCAGCTGGTGACCCAGGGCTGTGGACGACTCCTTCAGAGGCTGATGGAGGTCTGCCTCCTTTCTAAACTCCTGTTGACAATAAGAAAACAGTTTGTCACTTAACAAGACATGGCATATTGGAATCATTGCCATCTTCTGGAGGGAATAGAATGCAGTCGTCTGTCAATTGATAAATAAAGGCGAAAGAGATTTGCCGTCATTCACACTCAGGAAATGTTCCACTACAAACTCTGGCTGTTATTATATGATGACCTGCTTTGTCAATGTGGCTGCATGATACAATAACTATAGTATTGTATCAGCAACATGAAGGACTTACAGTGAAATCATCAATGGCTTTGTCAATGCCACGTGGTTCCTGCTCAGCAAACTTGTTGAGTTTGTCCACCGCCCCTTCCAACCAGTCAATGAGCTTGGTGGAGTCCTTGTCGAATGTTCTCCACTGGTTGTACAGTTGCTCAAGTTTGGACAGCTCCTGGAGAACCAGAGATTATCAGTGTTTAGTAAAAAAAAGAGAAAAACAGAAAATAACAATTTCATTTAGCTTTTACTTCATCATTGTATACTTGAAAGCTTAAATAAGCAAAATGGCAAATCATTTTGCCATTCTTGTAAATTGAAATGCAAGTCATGTTTCATTTGTTCTTTGATTGATCGCAAAGGTCTTGAAATAATTTCAGCACAAATGTGTATATATACCAAACATATAGAGAAGAAAATACCTGAGAAGTCTTTGTCTTTGCTGCTGTCCATCTGTCCTCAAACTGAGACAGTTTGGTCTCCAGAGCGGGGCAGTACACAGACTGGAGCACAGAGTTGCCCATGTCCAACATTCGCTGCACTACAGGCTGATGGTCCTTCAGGATGGTCACAACGATCTTTAGAACACCCACATACAAGTATACAGACACACACAGTAGAGAGGAGCAGAGATGTGCACATGTTAATGGTGAAAGGCTGCTACTTACATGTGCTTAAGTGTTAAAAGGAAATATGTTAGCAAGCAAGTTGTGTAATATATTGAGTGAAATTTACCTTTAGTTTCTCCTATGCAGGTAATGCATGTGTGGAAGAATTGCAGGTATTAGCTGTTAAATGTATTTGATTTTTAGTTAACACAGACAAGGTAATATCCATACCATTTCAGACTCCAGAAGATAGCTTGAATTCATGTATTAGCCATAAAATTTAAATTGTACCTGATACAGAGTGACTCTATCCTGAAGTTTCTGCACCACATCCTCTGACATGTCCTCAACAGGGACCTGTTCTTCTGTCTCCTGCAGCCATTCATTCTGCCGCTCAAACTCCTCCTCAAACCTGACCCACGTCTGTGCTACTGTATCCAGGTCCTGAGACAGTCTAGATGCAAGGAAGATTTAGGATAAGTGGTGCAACATGCTTAATATGTTCTGGCTTTCTTCTTCCTATGATTCTTATATCCAAGACTGATCTCAAATGTGCACAAGGACAAAGTTTTGATGGGAAGATACACACTGTAAGTGTTTGGGAAAGGTGTTACACACATGTAATAAAGTATGAAGCCTTGTAAGACGTCTCCTACCTTTGAGCCCTGTCCAGTGCATTGGCTGCCCTGTGGTTTAGCCCTGTGTGCTGTTCGATGTACTGCTCCCTTGTTGATGGGTCTAATTTTTGCAGCAGTGAGTCTACCAGGACTTTCTGTGCATCCAGCCCCAGGAAGAACTCACTGTGCTTCTCCAGGTGAAGTTTCAGCTCCTCCAGCCCTGTCACTGTCAGCATCCCAGTGTTCAGCTTCTCCTCAGCTGTTTCAATGAAGTCAGAGTAGTCCTGTAGGAGCTTCTCATACTGCTGCAGTGCTGTGGCTGCCTTACCCAGATCATTCTTCCTCCTGAGATATAACAGGCAATGTTGTTTTTAGCACATTCACATTAAAATAAGGCTCACCATTGACCAAGAGGATGATGGATTCAACAATAAACAGGCAAACAAACAGACCTGTTGACAATCCTCAGAAGTTCATCCCAGTTGCTCTGCAGCATGGTTGTTTCCATGGTGACAGGAGCACGTGGATCATCATCCCCCATCTCCCTGCCTCTCTCCAGAATGGAGTTAACCTGGTCTTCATGGTCACTGATGTCATCTTCTATGTCCTGAAATAAGCATCAATAAATTGAAATCAACAATAAAATATGCTACAAATTTCCTTTCAGACTAACTGCAGTAATACTTGTAAAGTATGCTAAAAAGGGAAATTCTACAAGGAATGAATTCTAGAAAATCATCTGCTATCTGTTTTTTCTACCTGTAAGTGGGCCAACTTATCCTGGATGGTGTACTCAGTGTCATCATCATCATTCATGATGTCTGACTTGGTCTCTGTTATCCATGTGTAGAGAGAGTTGATCTCCATCTGTCAGAGAGATTAAAAAAAGACTTGTTTGGGAGTATTTCTAATTGCTAACTACAAAGTACTGCCAGATCTGACTGTTTTGTTACATATGTGCTTCTATAATCTATAATATTGTAGTGTCCCAAATCTAAGACTATAGTTTGATTTGCAATGTCATCACAAACACACATACAGGGTAGTAGAATGATTGAATGTTACATTAATTTCATGGAGATGATTCAGCTTGACTGACCTGGAAGTCCTTCCATTGTGAGTTCTTCTCGATGAGTTCTTGTTCCTTCTGTAGAGCCTGTCCCTCCAGGGTGTGGAGCCTGTCCTTCAGGTCAGACAGCGTCTGCTGTACCACCTGCCTGTTCCTGCTGTCTGCCTCCACCATCAGCTGCTGACAGGCACGGTTCATCACGTACACCTGGTCCTGGAATGCACTAATCTCCTTCCGCAGGGACTGGGGAAAACAAGTCTCAGTTCAGTTCATATTCTTCATGATCAATAGTCAATAGTGTAGGGCCAGGTAACGGGGGGTGCCCTAATTCCGACCTATGTTCCATGCAAACACACAGACCTTTGGTAATAGTTTATCTGACCAAAACCCCGCGCAATATGAGATATAATATTGACAGATAAAGATCACAGCGATTAAAGCTGCACAGCTGTGTATTTCACTTGAGTGTAGCGCCTTACACCCAAGCGTAATGGTTCGCGAAACGCACGGCATGTTTTCGGTTATTTTGCCGGTGGAACGTTCTATCGCAACAGGGGTGCCCTAATTCCGACCTAGTGTTTAACACAGATCGATCTGAGAAGAGAGTTTAGAAATTATAATACACAAATTATGACTAAAACAATCTACAACTGTTTTTCTGTCCCAAACAAGTCCTCTTTTTACGATTACGCTCCAAAGTGGCTGTTTGAAAGGCAAACCCTGCTTTTTTGACACGCTCGTCAACCCTTGAACAAGCGTCGAATTCACACATATTTTTCACTCGTCTGTTGTCGGAATGTACGAACTAAAACAAACTTTGTGAGATTACCGATATCAACACAAAAACATTGTCCATTATTGTGGTTATTTTTAGGCACGTGCTCCCATGCATAACGCCGCAACAAGGATTTTTCAAACTAGTTCGGTATTAGGGATGGGTCGGAATTAGGGCACCCCCCGTTAGCAGTTTTACAGAAAGGAATATGAGCACATCAGATTAAGTGCAGTTTTGTGACATGAACAGAGAAATAGAGCTGCTATACATGTAGTTAGCTAGAGCCAGAAACAAGCTGGACAATAATTCAATCTGAAGGAGGTGGAGGCAACTGTAATGTGAATGTTGAAAAGTGTGCAAACTAACAACTTGAAGAAGCTATTGTAATCTTTAGGATTTCAACAGCATTGTCAGATGATGTAGCCATTCCCAAAATTTTGTTCAGAATAAATAGTTTGGCTGAATCCCTAGTCAATGCAACAACGCATCAAAGATAGAGACCCTCACCTCGTTCTGTGCCAGTTGAGCCTCTGAGTCCTTGGACCAGTCTGAGGTGAAGAGTTTGAGTTCAATGTTGTCCAGCCAGCCTGATACATCCTCCAGGGCATCCTGGTACTTCTGTTGGAAGTCCATAGCCTCCTCCAGACGAGACTGACTGTCTGTCATCTGAAGAACCCAGATGTACATTAATGTGGGTGAATAAAACTTTTTAATTACTGCTAAGAGACATGGGACTGAGGATTCAGTTGTCTTATGAAATGATTGTTATAAAAAGCCATGAAATACATAGATGTGATGTTAAGGATTACCTCTGACTGCATGTTCTCCCAACACTTGTGTAGGTCATCCAGGGTGTTCTTCAGTTCCCCCATGTTGGTCTCCCCCTGCCCAGGACTGTCAAAGGAGGGTGGGCGGAACTGGCTCATGGAGAGTTTTCGTTGCAGCTGTTCAAGAAACACAGCAGGATTTAGCAAGGCAGAACATTTGGATCATTGACACTACAATGTAGATGTTAGGTTTCAAGATACTAATGGCAGCGACATCAAGAACATCAAGAGAAGACAAACACCTGAGGTGGTGGTCTGTTCTGCTGGAGAGCCAGCTGCAGCTGCTGTTTCCTCTCCCCGATCTCCTGAGACAGCTCCTCCCACCGCTGCTTCAGATCTGCCATGTCCGTCTCACTGCCATTGCTGGATCCCATGTCACTCTCTGTGGAGGACCGCTGTCGTAGGATTCTCTCCCCTTTCTTTGCAATGGACTTCAGCAGGTGTTTGTGCTGGGCCAGCTCCTCATCTAGTGCTTTCTGTTGAGAGGTACAATATATGCTTGTCTGACTGTCTGCAAAGTTTTCTAACTCACATGGGTGTGATATCAAATCCATGCGAATGACTGACTGACTGGATACCAAAAATCTAAAGAACTACTTTTGTCATTCAGCCATTTTTGTTACTAGTGTGACAAGTACAGCATTACCTGTTTTTCCTCGTATGTGGGGCTGCCCTCATCCAGTGCGCCCTTCTGTCTCATCAGGGCAGAATGGTGCTCTGGGATTGATGGAAGTGTGGGTGGGGCTCTTTTTGATCCAGGGGATGTAGGTCTTGCACCTCCTTCTGCACCTGCAACACCTGTTTCATCAGCTGGCATCTCATGATCACTGCCCATCTCCATAGGCGTGTCTGTAGTGTCCTGGTCAGCAGAGCCCTGGGCCACACCAAACAGCTGTTCTGGGGAGGTTTCTGATGGGGAGTCTGGGGTTGCTGCTGTAACAGAGATGCTGACGCCCTCCTCCCCTACTGCTGCACCCTTACTGTGGGCTATCCACTTCTGCATCTTCTCCACACGAGACTGAGGATCAAGAACAACAAAACAAACATAGTGAGCATTGGTTATTGAGAGTTCCAAATTGATTATCAATTTATTAGCTAATCAATCAATCAATGAATCAATCAATATCATTGGTAAGCATCAATAAAACAATTAAGGATTCAAATAAACAAACAAGGATGATGATCATAATCTAAAAATTTCTTTCAATATGAAATTTATCTAAAATGTTAAAATGGTCATACAACAAGACAACAAGTAAAAAAAAATGTATCAAACATCATCCTGACCTGGTATTCCTCCAGTTCTTTCTCTCTCTGCTCACAGGCCTCAGCAGCCTGACTGATGTTTTCTTCCCGATTTGTGAGGGCCTCCTGTAGATCAGCCATGTCTCTTTGTAGGTTGTTGAGCTGGGAAAACATCAGCTCCGCCTGAAAGGTTTGTGTATTGTTATCATTACTGTGGCATTATCAACATGGTCGTGTTTATCTGGACTCTGTCAGTGTAACCTTGTAAACATGCAGCCTTTATGGGCGACCGAGTCTGAGGACAGACTACATACAGTATTAGGACAAAGTTTAGTGTACCTGTGCAGGCGGCTCTTTCTCTACCAGATCACTGCAGCGGTCCTGAAGCTCAGGAAGCCGAATGAGATGGTCCTCAAGGTCTGACTGGAGGCGCTGCAGAGGAGACACAGGGAACATGTGCTGTATTGTACATGTACACTCATGTAATAATCCGTTAAATTGTCTTACATGATAGCTTGTGGACTAAAAATAAAATTTGTCTTTGTTTATGTTGTTATGTAACCTTGTTGAGTTGTATTGCTGACAAGTCTCCTTCACTCATAACTGGTTAAGGTCCTGTTAAGTTTCAACAGTCTTCAAGACCATAGACATACAGAACTATGTCATATTTTGGTGACATCTTTATTCTAGGTCATCTGAACAACTTGTCATCTAAGAGCAAGGATTCTGTTGGTGTTATGGCCACGCATTCAAGTTCAAATACTTCCCCAATAGTCAGCACATGTACCTACGAATCAAATGACACCCTCCCACTAACCCCAGGCTGTGCTGACCTTTGACCTGTGAAGGTCTGGGTTTGGTAGCAAATTACCCAAAACACCAATGCCAAGGTTGACTATACAGACAAAATACTGACAAACAATAGAGGTCACTGAAGGTCAGTGCTCATTGGCTTCACTACATTTAAGATCTAACAACAAGATCTGAAATTGAGGCAGCCCAAATATTGTGAGTATGTCATCCAAATTGTACTGAAAGATGGGAATGTTAAGGTCTTTTGCAACCAGGTGACAAGGGTACTTATGTGTAAAAATTTGCATATTTGTGCTTGACGTGGAGCATGAGTATTAGAACACTCTTCCACATCAGTAAACACAGACCCAAAACAAATCGCTTGTAGACATGTGGGCAGGGGGCCAAATTCCAGAACATGCACACTAAAACTTGGCCAGTGTCCAAAAATGTCATGTAAACATCATGCAAGAAAGAACATCACTTACCAAGTGTCAGCTAGATTGTCTTTTTCAATCATGTATAAATGGCACTTGTATTTTTTTATCCCAATTTTTAACCAATGTTTGTGGTGGCAAGGATATTTGACACCCTAGGTTGGGCGTGTCCCTAACATGTGCCAAGATGGTTGGGATATTTTTACCCATATATGTCAGACATGTGTAGTATGCCCATAACAAGCCCCATGACACCAACTCTACGTGTGGTAAACACTGGAGAGTTTTCTAACATGAGACAATGTCCTCTTGGGAGAGGTCACCACTGTAAACAGCTTGTGGGCAACATGGATGCAAATCCAATACACGCATCTCTGTTACAAAAGTAATTAAACATAATATATAGGCCTCCAATATCTCACATTTTAACTAAATATACTGATTACTTCTCGAATTCCTGAGGCAATAAGAACAATTAACCACACGTGTAGAAATATTTATGGCATCCTTTCTAACAACCTGTTGCTCCAGCATATTAGTGCACAGGGCCGATTATTCTTTGCTCTATCATGTGGTACAATGTGGCCTTTTGGCTCATGAATAATTAAATAACTTGAACACAAATATAATACAACCCTTCTGCAGTCTTAGATATCAGAAATTCCCTGCTTTGAGAGATAAGCTATATCCCTGATACGACAGCCTACAGTCTGTTTACCTTGTTTTCTTCCAGCTGCTCGTCGAGAGCTTCCTTGTCGCTAGCGGTGATGAAGTCAATGGAAGACTGAACACGTGCACTGGTGACCCAGGTGTGCAGCGCCTGCATCTCAGCCTGGTAGGCTGACAGGGTCTCCTGGTGGGCCCGCTGCTGCTCCAGCTTCTCCTGTAGTGAGGAACAAGATAGTTGCTATAAAGGAACCTTCCGTTACATATCCTCCTATAGTGGGTAAAATGCTGCCTTGTTGTACATACCTCAGAAGTGCTTCATTATTTTCTGTTAATGTTATGTAAATTTTCAAAATAGCTTACCTATGACACACATAAACATTGCTCAGTTGACCATGGGAGCTAACAATGATATCAAGTAAAGAGTGCCACAACAGCATGGCACAGTATCAAAAACATACCTTGTTGAGGAATGGAAAACAGTCTGATGGAAACTCCATTTAGACTTCTCCATGATGTACCATTGTAACATGTAATATATCAGAAAGGCACCATTTTTGCTGAATACCTGTGATACCACTAATGCTTTTGTGTAATTCTATAATGAGATGCTTTCAATACAGCTCTTAATCAATGGGCATGCTGTCTTCCAAAAATGCAGTTCAATAGTCACTGCCTGTCTGCAAAGCTACAATGTACTCCATGTGTAACTACTGCATTTTGGGGACTTCAAAACATTTCTAGTACTATCACGTTACCTGACACATTAATATTTAATGTCTTTGCAATTCAATTCATTGTTTGGCATCACCAGTGACTGCGCAGTTTTCAAGAAAAAAAATGCAAAAGACAGAGCACTCATGACTTTCGCTATATTTCCCAAGGAGACTTCTGAGCTCAAGCTTAACAGAACTTTAAGAATCCATTCAAATGGAAATATCCTGTTCACAAATCAGAAGAGACTTGGGAAAAAACTACAGTTTCTATTTCATATGAACATTTTACCTCTATTTCCTTTTGCTTGGCAGCGGCTTGGTCTTTCAGAGAGGCAAGTCTGTGATGAAGGTCAGAGGTCGTGACTTGGACGTTCCCCTCCACATCTGTTGACTGTGCGGACTGGGCTGCCTGTTGACCCCTCTCCTCAACCTTCTTCACACCTTCCCTCAGCTGGGACAACTCAGCCAGGACAAACTGTGTTGGAAATATTAGCTGCTCTTTATCTTTTACTCATTTTTCAGGTGGTTAGGACATGTTCAATGTGATGACACAAATCAGAACAATGACTGGTTTACAACTGTTACAACGTTAGTACATGTATATTTTTTTAAAACTAGTATAAAATGGAATGATCTGCTTGTTGCTAATGTGTGACGGTTTTTTTCATAAAGACTTCCAAATTCTTTATTCAATCTTATACTAAATTGAGACAGACAGCAGACCTGAACATCTATCAGCTGGTTCTCCAGGTCATCCCCTCCCACCAGTACAGCGTCCAGCTGTGCCTGTGTGGTGTCCAGCCCAGCGCTGACCTCTGACACAGCCTGTTGGTACTCCTCCTGGTGCTGAAGGGCCTGCAAAAGCTGCTGCTCTCGGGAGGAAACCTGTCAAACAGGAGAGAACATGTTTTCCTCAGATTGGAAAGGTGGAAAACGAATAAAAAACACCCTCTCTGGATAGAGTAAAATGCTTTGCCGGGACAAAACTCTGTATGCTAGATTTTTTATGTACAATGCAGATACTTCAAACAATGGAAACATTATTTAACGAGCAATGAAGCTGAAGGGGCCACAAGCACCAGGGTCCAGTCACCTCTGACCAGATTTTATTACAAAATCAACAAACAGCAGGACATTAATTACTTTGGAGTAACATTTGCCAGGTGCTATTGTTCTCTTGCTGGTTACACTGTAACTGAGACGACAGTGAAAGTGTAGAAAAGGCAAGTTGAAATACATGTACTTAACGTCTGATCTTATAACAAAGGTTATACAAATGTAAGAAGACCCACCTGTTCCTGTAGACTCCTACAGGATTTGTTAAGCTGATCCAGCTCAGGATCCCCAGTACTGAGGGGAGTTTCTGGCCTGAACTCAACCGGAAGAGACATGTACTCAGCACCTGATTGGTCCAACTCCTGTACTGTCAGATCGCTTTGTGTGGACGTGACTGACGCAGCTGTGCTGGGCAGGGAGCCTGGGACAAGTTCACCTGGCAGACCATACGCCTGGGGAAAAGTAACCTCACATTGAGTCAGATGTGATCACTGGAAAACTCTGTGCACTATCCCTTAAATAGGATTCATTTCAAAGATCAAAACATCACAAACACCCTTCTTACAACAATAACCTTTACTCTGATAAATTCAAGCTGACAAAGCTATTGTGATTTGAAAACTGGTTAGACAGGTCAATGATTCTTATTTATCACATCAATGCCAGCTCTAAAAGTGTCTTTTTACGTGTGGCTTTTGTATCAGAGCTACAAAAACACAAAACTACAAAATCACACAAATAAACAAGTAGAATAAGCAGCTGATGATAACACATTGACTAGATTAAGCTGGTTGACAGGATCCTTGAGGACAGTATGATGAAAGATCTTCCCTCCCACCAAGGAAAGGTCATCTGCAGTCAATGCTTAATAATAGCATATTCATCACTTCACTTAATTTCTGTGGCACTGATGATACACATACTACTAAATGGTTCTTGACATACTAAATCTTCATTATCTAAATATAACAAGTTCATTGAAATTTAAAAATTCTGTACCGTTTTCTTACCCCGGTCTTGAAGAAAAGGTTTTTTTTGGACAGTGCTTGACAGTAGAATATTCTCTTTAAACTATTAGACACCAATGAATTTGAGTCTGCAGCTAAGCCTTGCTGACCTGTAGCCTCCTGCCTAGCAGCATGTCGTGCCTGGCCTGGTCCCAGGGGTGCTGCGGCCTGACCTGTGGCATGGGGGAGGATGTCACACTTGCACCACTGCTCATCCCACTGTCCTTTCCTCTCTCCTCAGGCTCAAGGGACTGTGGGGGGGCGTGACATGAGTGGGGGTCAAATCAGTGTATGTGGTGCAGTGAGATCCATAAAACGTGCTGTGATGAACAGGGTGATGAACAGGCGGGGTTATCCTTATGAACACTCGTGCGTTAATCAATGTTAATGGGACACTTCTTGGCAAAAACACTCGTGCTCTAGGATCACTCTTGTAAGAGGGAATTCAGAAGAAACGAAGGAGCACACCAAGGAAATACTTAAGGAGGGAAGAAGACTGAGTTTGAGGTTAAACTGTTGGATGACATTACTCACCAAGGAGAGAGGAAAGGCAGCTTGGCAGTTGAAAGTCTAGGAGGATGATATGTCCATTTACAAATTAAAGAAAAGGGGAGTCACAAAAGTATATGCAGATGACCTTTTAACAATCTGCTTCTCAGGTATAGATAATAATAATACAAGCAGTAGCTGAGTTCTGCCACATACATGTACGAAGTCACAAACCAACAATGATGGAGTAAACGGAAACAAAAACAAAACAAAATAATAAACAATTGTGCATGTGGCACATCCTCCATTCCAGCCAGTTTCCCTACCTGATTTGAGCTCCTGTCCTCGCTGGCTGTTGACCCAGACCTGACCCTGTCCATCAGCACGTCAATGGACATGTCCTTGTCTAGCACAGGTCCTTGTATGGCTATCTGCTGCCGTTGCGCATTTAAGATGTCCAGCTGGTCCTGGTAGCTCTTCACCTGGGCAACTAGAGCCTGGGGAAGAGCAGCACAGACTTTAAACACACACATCAAACAGGAGACATCAGGGAAACATCTAATTACCTTGTCACACGTTGTGTGTATTCCATGATACCTTGCATTGGGTCACATTGAATCTGGAATGCCACGCTGACAACAGTTGCAGTCAAATTAATACATGTCATATCTCTATATCTACTGTAAGAAGAAGACAATAGAAGAAGAAACCATGTTACCTGATGCTGAGCAATGCGTTTCTTTATATCATCTATATTTGCCCTGCAGGGGGCATGTCCTCCATCTGCTTCTTGGCCTCCTCTATGGCACCTGTCAGCTGTTGTACCTGGGCCTCATGTTGCACCTCCTGGTTCACAGCCTCCTATAGTGGGATACACAGAAGTGTTACCTTACCATTCTGAGATGAAATAATTAGATCAGTTACCACCAGTTAATACAGGACAGAAAGGTGACCCAGCCTGACCTTGATGGCTTGGTTCTGTCTGACAGCGGCCCGGTGCAGGATTGCCACCTCCCCCTGTAGGGTCTGTGCATTCTCATACGCCGGCATGTCAGCTGCCTGCACCTTCAGTCTCTGCTTCCTCTCCAGCAGGACCAACATCTCAGCACGGTGGGCCTCTATGTCCTTTAGGAGTGTCTATAAGAGATAGAAGTACATTTGTAATTGCTATTATCTGTTTTATCATTGCCTGCCATTGCAGGGAGACTAAACATACAAGTTTGTTTATTCACATTTGATTTACTCTCAGGGAGACTTACGTAATATCATTTGCCACCATAGCTACTTCACATGACGTAGACACATAAATGCAGCAAGATGCCAAACTACTGAACTCTTGTTACATACCTCCTGTGCTGCTAATCTCTCCTTGAGAGGAAGTTGTTGAAACTCTGGTGAGGCGAGTTTAGCCTGAGACTCCTCCATCTTAGCCTGGAGCTGCTCAACCGCTGCTTCAAAGTCTTGGGCTTCATCTTCATGGGTTACAATTAAGGAATATAGCGTTAGTCTTAGCAAAAGATGTTAACATTCAAAATATGATTATTAGTATCTCATCATAGCAACAAGTCTTAATTCCATGTCTGTTGCTTTTGTGAGTATGTGTGCAAGGCTGTAATAAAATGAACATTACAAAACATGCTATCATAATGGTGGCTATGCAACCCTCACCTGTGGCTTCTGTCAGGTGCTTGAGGTTCTGGTTAGCTGCTACCTTGAACTGACCAGTCCTGTCACTGATATCAGACAGCCGTGGGAGGAGAGACACATTACACAGCTGGCTCAGCTGGTGCATCTTCTCCCGCATTATCTGGATATGGGGCTGGCTTTCATCACCCTCAAGGATATCCTGAGAAAAGCAGCAAAACAATAAACATTTTTGAGTTAAAAATTTGACTGCCTGTTCCTTCTTGCCAGATATAAGAAGTATATCAATATGGAAACATCAAGAGTAAGGGGGTGAAAGCAATGTATACACTTATCAATATTTTAATGTGACAGAAAGTTCACTGTGTTTCACCCCTAAGTAATCTTATGTTCTTGCTCTGACCTTGTGCTCTTGCTGTTGCTGGCACACCTCATCATAGCTGTCCCAGGTAATCCCAGGTCTGACCAGCTCCTCCCCTTTCTCCAGCCACTCACTGACCTGCTTCTCAGCATCCTCAAACTCTGCCAGCATGTCAGCTGCCTCATCCAGGTTCTCCTTCTTTACCTTGGACTTAGCCTGAAGACGGCACATCATGGTCGAGAAAATAGTGTTATGAACTAGAAAGGCCAATATTTGCTTTGGAGCAAATATAGCGATGGGTTCACCACATTTTACGACATGGCAGGGAAAGAATGAGAAACACTAGAAAGGCCAACATTTGCTTCGGAGCAAATGTAGGAATTTCACTCCATACCCTTCCCCAAACAAAAATGAGAGATTCTAAATAAATCATACTGCAATTATACAAGGACAAGCTGTTTGAATCTCGACAGGTATTTACAAAACTGGCACTTGGCAATTATCTCCCTTTTTTTTACAAAGATACAACGACACGCACTTTAAATCTCGACAGCTTTACTTTACACTTTTGACGAGATTGTAACTACTACTAACGGAAGCAAAATTTTCACGGCCTGAGAAAAATGGACATGTTCACGGAAGTATATATTCACGGTGGTGACAGTTGCAGGAAAAAGAAAGTCCGGGAATTATTTCCTGTAAATACTGTAATGATAAGTTCACAATACAGAGGTGACAGTGAAAACCGTGAACATTGACCCCCCGCTTGCGTTGCGGTACAGTGAAAAAAAATCGGGAATTACAGCAATCAATTTACTGAGTATGTTTGCTTAGTTTCCAGATGTTTTGTACTTGTAGTTTTTAAATGAACGAAAACCGATGCGCGCACAGATGTTACTTTTGTGACAACATCAAAGTGATTTTGGTTTGTATGTTGAAAAAATACAAAAGACTAACATTCAAAGTTATTGAAATTCTTGAGTAAGAACAATCAGTTTTGGAATGTTAAAAGCAAAGCAATGGATATTAAAACGAAAATGTTAAAATTAAATGTTGAAATTGTTAAAATGTAAAATGGTTAAAATGGTTAAAATTGTTAAAAATGTTAAAATTGTTAAAAATTGTAAAAAGGGTAATTAAAAATATCCAGTGTACCGGGGTTCGAACTCGCAATGTCTGGACTTGCAGCCCCGAGCTATCTGGACGCGTTTCCATTACTCTCTGCATTGTATGTCATATAAAGTGAACAACATGGCGGTAACGATCGCTTCAAGTACTAGTAAGGGACTTTCTAGGAGATTTCCTTCTTTATCATGTTCGCTTTTGAACCACCGGTACCTTGATGTAACGTAACTATCAATCCGGCTAGCAGAAGCCGCCGGCTCCCTGTCCAATCTTTGAAAACTGTCGGGCATGCAAGCCCTCAACGCTCGCTTTAGGAAAATTTGCCAGGAAGCCGTCTTGCGATGTTCTCAGCAACACAAATGAACGCCTGTACACT